CTGTCAGTTAACCATGTCTAACGCTCTCTAAAACAATGTGGAAACAAAACGTTGATTGTCATTTGTTTCGCTCCGAACCTCACCCATCATGGACGGCGTAATTACAGCCGCGCACTGTAAACCGATAGTTAATAGTTAATCGTTCGGTAATAAGCCGGTAGTCGCTCCGGCAGCCAGTCGTCAAAGACATTTGTAATTTCGGGCGTGCGCGAAGAGACCGGCGAGAAATCAAGCGGTAATAAATTACGCGCGCGATGCGATGCGATGCGCCATTGTGCCGTCGGGGCATTTGGCGGCTGATCGCGCGAAGGGTTGAAATCCGGCACCTGTGGACCTCGAGGCTGATTGCTGATTACCATCGTTCGAAGGCCGAGTTCGGGCCTTTCTCGTCGTCATTACACTCGAAGAGAGGTGCATCTCGTCGAGGCACACTACATCGAGCTTCTAGTTAGTTATAAGATGATAATGATAAATTATAAAGGAGTGCATTCCACACTTTTTAAATGAATTTCTTGTTTGAGAGTTTTTAATCATTTTATTTACTACTAACAGTTATAGTAGATACAAAAATATTATTCAATTGGAAGTTCGTTTACAGTTACCTACAATTCGCTGATCGATTTCTGAATCGCTTGAATTATTGAAATTAAAATCCTGCCGATGTACAAAATGGGATTTCATTTGTCTCCATAGAAATACGAACTTTCTGTATATTTCTGCTAGCTGAATGCGCCATCGGACTAGAAATATATTAACTGCATGAATTGGAAATTTTCGCTCGCGCATCGAACGCGTTTAAATTGCAAATTACCCGCGCTGCAAAGACTTGCGAGATCTTCGAGGAAACTGAATTCGCATTATTCGCAACTTTGGAACTTCATTAAACGCGATACAATGCGACGAATGCAAACGTGGCATTAATGCAAAGCCGCCCCGAATCGCATTGAAAAACCGTACGACGCGCGCGCGATGCGAACGATACGAAAATCGTTTTTTCGATTTATTTTTTTCTGCACCGCGTGCAAAAGCTGTAAGCAAAGCGGACGATGAAAGAAGACGAAGAAGAAGCAAAAAAATATATAAAGTGAGCCCAGGACCTAAAACGAAGGACGAAGTTTTGTGTTGCCGTTGCTTGCGACGAGTACGACGGCGATTTATTACCATAACACCGTGCACCGTACGACTCGCCAGCATCGTCCGAGTTAAATCCGAAGAAGATCAGCCGAAACTGAAGCCGAAGGCATCGAGTTGCGACGCGGCTGGCAATATTGTAACGTATCTCACGCAGGACGCGACCGAAGCGGATCGTCGCAGCATCGTTTTCGGTAATGAATATCTTTCCGCCTAATCTCCCTCTCATCGTTTTAACGAGACGCATTCCATCCACTTATCGAATGCTCGAATGTTATTTTCGTTCGCCGGTCGTGGACGATGCAGGAGGAGAAAAAAAAACGGCGCGTACGCAAACGAAGTCTCGGGGCACAAAAAACAACAACTGTGTCTTCTTTGTCGCAGGCTGCGGACAAAGGTCCGCATTGAATTCGACAAAATGTGGAAAAGCGAGTGAAACCAGTAATCGCAACAAAAGCGCTTTTTTGGGTCTGATTTTAAAAAAATGAGAAGAAAACAATTTCTTTCAGAGAATGCTTTTAAATTAAGAGCGGCTTTATGTATAATGGGTTGCCTAGTTATCGACAGACGAAATATAAAATGTAAGTCATGAAATCGACGTGGATTTGAGCAGCAACTATAGGCAAGGCACGAAAGGATGTATCAATCATTATAAATTGACTTCCTTCGTGCCGCCGCGCGCTCGCTGATTCCGGCTACTAAATTACTTAACCGTAGATTACTGCCAGACTTCGAATCGCTCGAATCGGTGCGCTTATTGTACTCTATCTGACCAGCTCTACTGCAATGTCTTCTGGAGTACTTTATACAACAAAAGAACAAAAAATGTTTTTGTTGCTAAAACAGTAGTTTACACTCTATATAACGTCTTTGTAGACGTTTTTAATGAAGATAGTTACAAGGTCCATTGAAAATGTACAAAAGGTCATAAAAGAAGAATTTATAATTAACTAAAGACAATACCATCATAAATATCATTTTCATGGAGGTCTTCATAGGACTTCTTCTATATTACATGAGCGCATGTACCGGAGAACTTTATTCGCCTGCTGAGCAATGACGAATTGATCAATCCAAAAACGATCATCTTCCAAATTGGTAACAAGCAGAAACAAAAGATTGCGTTCCCCAAGACATCAACTTCTCCTTTTACTTGGTTTTAATTTCTTGACGTGTAAGATGACGGCGAAGCCTGTAATCAATCCACCATTGCACGATTTCCATTCGTCGGCTTCGGAACGCGTGTGGCTCAATAGTGTTTCCTTGAATTTTTAAAAGGTACTCATTACTCTCGGCAAGGTAAAAAAAGTACAACACGACCCAAAACTTGAGCCGCAGTGCGTGTACATGGTGTGCACGGCTCGAGTATGGCTGGAATAAAGGCTAAAAGTATGTAATTTTGATAAACGCTGGGTGTGGTTGCGGTGGTTGGACGGCCGCGTCACTATCATCAAATCCGATCGGCGGATCGCGCGCTGCCCTTCTGGATCGACCAGAACTCGCGTCACCAACATGAACAACACTCTCACACACACCTACGAGTGTTTTTATACGTTGATGTGTTTGAGTGTTGTTTCATGAGGCATGGTTCATGGCTCATCATCCATCCAACTCTCCGGCAGTGTGTCATGGCGTGTGTGTATGTGCAATCAGAGTTGTTTGGCCGTTCACGACTTTCGACCGGGTTCGAAATTCGATTCGTTGGATTTATGACCCTGCATGATAATTTCAGCCCCCGATCCGATGATTTACACCAGTTCAATCATACGCTCTGTGTAATTCTGCATGGCACACTCGATGTGACACATGAAGTGCGATCATAGAAAACACTCGGTATAAAAATACTTATTTACTTGACTATTTGGTGTGTGGACCTGTGGAGGTCTTGAGGTCTCGAGACTCAACGCATCGCACCGAAAACTATAATTATCGGCAACGGCGCGGCGTATAATTACGAAAAACAGAAACTACACGCCGTATACGTTTAATTACTATGCTTAGCCGCAGCGGCGGCAGGAACATTTTCGAACGATGTTCGAAAATTAAACATTCGACATTGTCTTGCTGTACCTACACGCATCGAATGTATTCATCAGCTTATCGTATGCTACGCGTGTGTTACATCAACGTGATTCAAGTGGTAACTAACATAGACAATAATATGTTGTTCAAAACACAGAAAGAAAAAATTTCAAGTTGGAACAAGTGAAATTATACGTAATAGTCTAGTAGCTTGCAGGTTAGCAATTAACAAATTATTTCACGACTATTTTGATGCCTGTAGAATTATAATCATTATATTTACTTGTACAAAAAGCATAACAAAATGGCGTCGGCATTCTCGCTGCTTACATCAGGTAGAAATTAATCGACCTTATCAATAATTAATAATTAAAACGTCTCGTGTTCCCGTCGGAGTCGGGATTTTTTCGTTTTACTCTACAGCGAACGCGTTATAAAGATTGTTGACGTTCCCTATTAAACGCTACGCGAGCAGTGTGCTTGTAGCTCGTAGCTCATTTCGTATACTTTGTGCGCAAAGTGGAAGAAGGCGATCTAATCGACCATCAATTTCCGTTCGATCAAACCGGCGCGCGGCGTTTTCGTTATCTCATGGAATTTAATTAAAAGCGATCGCGCGGCGCGCCGTGGAATTAGACAAATCTGTTGGAGCGTTCTTACCGTTCTTACCGTGCCATGTACAAATTCGAAGCCCGCAGGAAACCAGCAACTGGAAGCTGGATACCGGTGGTTAATGTTAATCAAAACCCAAAGTAGTCAAGTATGGTCGAACTCTCGGCGTACGACTACTCAAACTGAGACCTGAAACTCATGTTTCTGATTGCGCGCATTAGACTTTATCAATTAACTGTTGTTGCTCGTTTTTTAGTCATCGACGCATCGCATGTGTAGTGTAACGGTCCCAACGAGGTGCATTAGTGTTTTATTAAAGTTATTAATTAATTACACTACATCGCAATCATTTACGATAATTATTCCTAGAGTAATCGATTTAGTAATACCTACACTTTTCATCTAAATAATCCATTATGATTAAAATTTAAGTAATTTGTCAAAAATTTCCGAGTTATTTTCCATAAAATCGAACAAGTAGTTAGAAATAATAAAGTAATCATTCGCAATTTCAAAATGGCGTGTTATTTAATCACTTGCACGCTAATTGCTGTAATTACCGTAATATTAGACGCGGTGACCAGCAAATAAATTCCAGTCAGCATGTTTGAGCAGCGATTTTAATTTTTTGCTGACGTTTTTCTTTCGAGCGTTTTCTTACGTTCGCTTGCCTACGTTTTGGTATGATTGCAAGTGTTTTGCAAAGGCTTAACGCGCCGATAGGCGCTGACATAACGCGATATTAACGCGATTCCGCTACGCGCGCACGCATATTTTTCTAATAAATAAATAGGCGCGGAGTTTATTATTAAATGGTGGGCCGGGAGCGTGCGCCGATTAAACGTCGTCGATTCAATAAAATCGCCGGACGGCGCCGCCGTATCGCGCCCGAGCCGACACTAAAAACATCGTAAAATACGAATAACGAATTAATATAAATTGATTCGCTCGACCGGCGGCGCGCGCGCAAGCTCTCCGGCAAAGTAAATTGTATAATTTACGCTCGTCGAGCGTAATTAAATAGATTTATGGCGATTTAATTAATTCGAATTTATTATATTTTATTTACGAGCCGCATTTCCTATGCAGATTTCATCGCAAGTCTTCTGATACAAGTCCGTATTTCATATTAAAATTTCGAAAACTGAACACTATAGTGCCCTGGTGAGCAGAAGCCACACTAATCATTTTAGTTCCATAAAAAGAAGTTTTCTAATCACGACAATGAACACACTGTATGTGTTCATGTGCCGACCGACTTCTTTCTATATAACCTAAAATTATAAATTTTGTCATCTAAAGTTTTTACGCAAGTTTATCACTTGAATTTTTCGAAAAAATGTGGAAAACTTTAAGTAAACTCGCGACAACTACTCTACAACCAGAGTCAGTACTTCAGCAACAACTGAGAGTAAGTGAGACTACGTAAAAACTTGTGATTTGATTGTTATATCTTTTTAATGTCTTCAGACAACTTACATTCTAAAACGGAGATTTCCTCCTTTGCTACACAAAAATGGGTCTCATCCGAAGCGATTGCGCAACAAACATTTCATTTATGATATTGTAAAGGACACGTCCTATGAACGGCAGCCTGACATAGATGTTATCCTCACACAGTTTGTTGATGGAATTGGTAAAGTTGGTGAGAGATTAACTATGAGACCACAGGTTGCATACAATAGGCTGCTTTTGCCTGGCTTGGCTGTGTATGCATCACCAGAAATGGTTGAAAAGTATAAGGAGTTTGCTAATGTAAAAGATGATGAAAATCATAGTTCCCCAACAGCTCAAAGAGTAAGTTAAATGTCAAAAATAAGCCAAGATATCATAATCTCAGAAGCATAGTTGAATTTTACAATGTCTTTGATTTTCAGTTTTCTTATTCAGTATATTCTTTTTAATTTCAGGCAGTCAATGTATTATCGCGCCTGACATTGACTGTGACAATGAATAAAGACAATCCATGGACACTCCAACCATGGCATCTTAAGAATTGCTTCAGAAGATGTGGTTTCCATGTCCCAACTGACACAATTACGTTGCCTAGTAGGGAAATTAAAGGCCCTAATATGGATTATGAAGGAAAAGAGTTTTATGTAACAGTAACAGTGAGTTAACTTATTCTACAACTTTATATTTCAATGCAAACTAATTGCTTACAATTAATGTTTAGATTAACAACCTGGAAAAGGTAAATGTGCGTTGTATTCTCCATCATTGGGCCACGGATGTGTTAGAGCGATTGCCGCATGATCATGACTTCTTCAAGCGAAAGAATGAACCGATTTTTCCTGAAGATGCCCCAGTTTTAGCCTCTTTACCCTCTAGACAATTACTTGAGGAAGTTAAGGCGTAGGATAAATCATGGTAAAATAGTTTTATTATTAAATGTTTCTAATTAAATCGATATTGGAAGGATTTTTGTCGATTTTGATTTACAAAAACTTCAAGATTACTAAATTATGGTTTATTAATTCAACTACGCATTTTTATTAGTTTTATCGCTAACAGTATACTTATCATAGGTTTTGGTGGGATCATAAGGTTCCCATCTACTAGCGGGAAAAATATGCTTATTCCGCTCATACCAACTCCTCATCAGGACTTTCCCCGCGTGAGATTCTTCTTTCTCAACAGTGGCATCGCTCACAAGTCTGATATCATCATGTACATCGAATTGAAACAATGGTCCTGACTTGCCTCTAGCTTTCGTTACAATAAAATCATAAAATGTGTAATGGTGTGGCACGATTAGATCCTCTTTGACGTACATCAACTGGTCGGCCATGACGGTTTTCAATTCAGAGAATTCTTTCCGTAGAAGTTCCAATACTTTCTGTAGAAATTGATAGACGGAATTTCCCTTCTTCACGCGCACGGTGCGTCGATGCCCCGAGCCGTCCCAATAACTGAACGTGATATCGATTTCTTCTTCTTTGAGTTTCTGCTGTTGTTCCACCCATTCTTGCCGGAGTTCTTCACGTAAGCGATGTTCTTCCTCTTCGCGTTCACGATCCGGTAGGAAACTGGTGTCTACAGTTGGATCTTTCTTGATCTTTTTGGATGGTTTGAAGTTTTTAGCTGAACGTTTCCAAGAGTCAAAGGTTTCTTCTTCCTCTTCTTCATCGTCATCGTCGGGTTTCTCAGCATCATCGGCCTCTTCGTCATCATTTACGTTAAAGGATAAACTTTGAATTTGGCGCTTTTGTTTAGATTTTTCTGCTTGTTTTGCTTCGATTTCTCGTTGTCGCTCACGCTCTTTTTCCGCTTGTTTCTGAGCAAGTTTCTTCTCACGTTCTTTTACAATATTTTCTTGTTTTGCTTTCATTTCATTGAGGGTGACCAGACCAATTGTCGAACTCTAGAAAATAATACAAATGTAACATCAAGAAACCATAAAGTATATGAAATATTAAATAATAACTTACCTTAAGTTGTTGTTCGACTGCATCGTAATGTGTAGCGAATTTATTTTCAATTCTATTGAGTTTAAGCTCATCTTCAATCTTCTTCTTACGTATTTCAATGTCTTGAAGTTGTTGTTCGCGTTTCTTCATCAGCTGCATGGCTCGGCCTGCGTCTGAGGCTGCTCCCTTGTAGTGAGCCATACTTATGCCAATTTATAAACAATTTCTTGTAAATTTTGAGTGAATTAAAACAGATTTTGCGAAGACGCTGTGCTGTGATCTTGCTATGCTTGGAATGAATGTTATTGTACGGCTGGTTGCCAGGAAATGCATACAAAATGTCAGTAACGTGAACACAGATTTATTGGTTAGTTACCCACTGCACGACTTGTTACAATTTCTGGTGAAACTTTTTAAACGAATGACTTAAAATGTCTAAAGCAGCAGCCCGCCTGAAAACATTGAAGAAAGTAGTTGAAAAGATCAATCATGGTAAACTGTGTACGAATATTCCGGCTGGAATGGCTACAGCAGGACCACCATTAGGTCCAATGTTAGGTCAGAGAGGTATCAATATCCAAGCTTTTTGCAAAGATTTTAATGAGAAAACAAAGGATATAAAGGAGGGAGTGCCATTACCATGCAGGGTGACTGTGAATTCTGACCGGAGTTATGACATTACCATTCATAAACCACCAGCAGTATTCTTCCTTAAGCAGGCAGCAGGAATTCAAAGAGCTTCTATGAATCCAGGTAAACTTTAGAGAAAAAATGAAGACAATATTAATATGAAATATGTCCCGAACTTTTAGGTGAAGAAATATCAGGAAAAGTAACTTTAAAACATATTTATGAAATTGCACAAATTAAAGCACTTGATCCCACTTTACAAGTCTATCCAATGGAGAGAATTTGTAAAATGATTATTGGGACTGCAAGATCTTGTGGAATTGAAGTTGTAAGGGACTTGGATCCCAAAGAATATGAAGAATTTCTAAAGGAAAGAGCTGTCATAATTGAGAATCAAAAGAAAGAGTTACAAGAGAAGAAAGAAGCCAAAATGTTAAGGACAGGGTAGCCTGTATCATAATTAGGTAGAATTTAATAAATAAATATATTAGGAATTTATTGCGTTGGGTTTTTCACATTTAATAAATTTCTTTGGTGTGTTTGGGGCAAATTTAGATGCATTGCGTATGCAAGGTTGCCTATAGTCACTGTTGGATTACATAAAGTTTTGTTTTGTTATAAACAAAGGATAAACATTTGAATCTATATTTTGGAAAATGGAACTAGTTTTAAAATTTTAAATATTAGATATTCTTGGTTTTGTTATTAAATATTTTGTTTTTATGTTTGTTGGGTTGCATAGGTCGACTCCCACTAGAAGACAAAATTCGGTCGAATTTCACCTTGAAGCGTTGCGCGAGGGCGAATCACGGCTCGGCGATTTAGCAGCCTGCAGCAGCCAGTTTGCCTCGGCCACCTGACGTCCTGGCCGTACTTGACAAAGTACGGCGGCGAGTCCGCGGGATGTCAACGAAAGTGACGCAATGAAGTATTTATACGCACCAGCCAGCAGTTGTGCGAGCATCTGCGCCTGAGGAAAACGCGAGGCGCAGCGCAAGCGGTGTCGTGTCGTGATGAGCGTCGCGCGACGTTCGCGACTCCCAAATATCGTTGTTCGCGTGGTGTGTGTGCGGAAGACGGACTAGTGGCCCAGCCGCCCTGCAGAAGACGCAGAATTACGTAAGTGTACACCATCAACTTCTTCATCGACATGTTTTTGACGCCACAACCATTGAAAGTGAAACTATCCCAATTCGCGAGGAATGTATAACATTGTAATAAATTTACATTTGTTTTGTGCTAAGGGTGGCGAATAACAATGTCGTAAGTTTTGTTGCGTGTGATTGGTGCGCAAACGACACTCGCTTGTATAGGTAAACAATCTAAACAAATGAAAGTAAACGGAAAAAACATAATGAAACAAAGCGTAAATGTAAATACTAAACAGACAAGTTGTATATTTGACTGTTTCTGTCCGTAAACGCTTGTTGGACTCGTTTCGTTCGGTTGTAATTCGTTAATGAGCGGATTTTCTGCAGAATGCGGACGCGTTTCATTGAGCACCGCGCTGTCGCGTGCCGATACGTGGTGCGTGTGACCCAATTCATTCTCCATGCAGGACCTGCAGGGGCTGAGAGTCAACTCTGACTTGGTTTGAACAAAACGATAACGCTCGACTTTGTGGCGAATCAATGAAATATTCATAATCACATTAACAAACGCACAAAAGGATGCATGTTGCATGATGACTCGCGCTGACCTGCCGAGACTTATATGTCGGCAAGAATCAAGTTCAATTAAAATACAAATGACGGTCGAAAGAAATCCGAATCTTAAAATTAGTTTCAAGGCTGTCCGTTCCGCATTAAAATTCATTAAAATTTATTTGTTTGCATTGATTTTTTTTAGTAAAACTGGTGTCATCCGCCATTAATAAAACAACACACGTCCTCAATCAATAAATAAAAACATAAAAAAACAAATGCAACACGATAAATGATAAACGCTATAAATGTATAAAACCTTAAATAAAATACAATGAGAAAATGAAAGTGTACGGCAAGTTGAACGTAATAAAAAATTAGTGAAATAAAAAGCGAGCGTTTACTGCGTTGTTGTGTTTTGGGTTGTGCGTTGCAATGTTTGCATTGCAGTAAAATAATTGTGTAATCCGACATGAGCCAGCTTCGAATGTTTCACACATTTCAAAATGAAATTAATATATTTATCGTGCCGGTGGCTTTGTACATTTGTTGTGTGCGCGTTTGTGTTTGTGTTGTGTACACAACATTTGCCAGCAAAAGTACAAGAGCACACATTAAATCCGGGATATTTATAGAGCGTAATGACATTCGGCAATGTGTGCGCGTTCATGTTCACAGTGCCAAACGCTCAAAATCTAGAGTTTCACTTGTTTTCGCATGATTATGGTTTTCAAGTGTGTAGATTCAAACGGTTCGAGGAAAATATGCGTAAACAATTAAAACATCATATTTTGGGCATCAACAACATGATCGTCAATTAATTATTCCTAGTAAAATATTCAATATATGTTGGTTTGTTTGTTCATGGTTGATTTGTTGGATACATTACCGGAAATTTGTTTCTTTTTATGTTTTACTACGAAATAATGTGTTGTGTTTCAACTTTGGGTACAATAATTATCCCCACGTAAACTGTCAACAGTTCACAAACAACTTTTACAAAAAAATACTTTTGTAGCAACAAAACAATTTAACATAAATTTAGGTCGTTACAATGCTCTCCAGCCACCCTCAAAGCATCAATATAATTAATTTTTTTCACCAGATTCTGGGTTATGTTTAAAATTTAATTTGTATCTGAAGTAATGTATGTTTATGATGTCAATATGTCATGACATGAATAATTTATTATGAATTAACACATGCTGCGGGCTCAAGGATGAAATAATTTTCCATGTTTTTCGAAAAGTAACCGTTAAAATTCATGAGATGCATAATTTTCCCAGTGCGTTATGTGTGCATCATATAATTATCTAGAAACAACCAAATCGCATGACCAGCTTCAATGAGTAATCAATAAAATAATTTATACACATAGTTGGATTGCTCTTACTTGGCACGAAGACTACTGGTGCATGAAAAAAAAAAACAATATAGAACGTACCAAAACAATTTTAAAGACTATTGTATTACATCACTTTTGTAACTTATTCAGAGAATTTTGTTTATGTCCGGAAACAGCACAGATCGTTTTCATGACTCACAAAGTCTGACATTCGCACTAAGTTATTTAAAATAACAAATTTCAGACACATTTAGCGATACTAAACTATGCGTTTTAATATTGTCTATTACGAGGAGAATATTTATTTTCAGTCAGAGTGATAAGCATGGTAAATAGTCGGCACAAGATAAGCAATTACAGTATTACAAATAGTTTAGATAATACACAAAATAAGTTGTAATATTTATTTATACTCAAAGTTTGATTCCAACTTTAAACTTGTAATATCAATGGGTTTTAAGTTGAATAAACTCAATAAAGTATGTTGTAAACAAATTTTGTTTACTCTTTGTAATGTGCTGCATAACTTGAGAGTTGTGCGAATGTTACACGTGCGACACACAGACCGGAAATCAATTTTCTCAAAGTTCCTATAAGGTTGCTACTTGCCAAGAACACAAATCAATAGAAAGCGAATTAAAACTTAATAATTAACTTGCGGCTTGGCACAGCCTGCTTGTTCATTATTCGTATGTCGACGGTTCTCACGCGGTTTCAAAGCTTTCAAAGTGTTTAGAGAGAACATTTACGGTGCGTTGACAATCGACATTATTGAATAAAACATTGATTTAAACTATCTCGCGAGTTTGCGCATCATTTATATTCATTCTTTCACTTGGTCTCACTTGTTAATAATGATAACTGTCAAAATATTGAGGTTACACTTTATCATAACCTTAATTGATCTCTTATTTGACAAATGACTATATATTTGTCTTGTTTGTTACAGATTTCGATTGTTTCCTATGGGCTTTTAACAAAGCGCAAAGCACAATGACAATAAATCAACATCCATTAAATTTAAATTTTAATCATTGCATAAGTTAAGAGCAAAAGTTAATCTCTTGGAGTATAAAAACAGAGTACAAAAAGTTTAGTACTATTATTTAACTGGTTACAAATTAACGTCGTTAAAATATTTGCTATTAAAATGGATAAGAAACGCAGTCCGATGCCGTCGAAGATGAGCTTCAAGGTAAAACAGACGCACACGGGCACCAGCGACAGCGAGGCCAGCGGCGAGACGAACAGTTTGAGCGCGGAAAGTGTGGGCGATCATCAGAATCAACCGCCAAAGCCGCCGGCGCGGAAGAAAGGACGCAGGAAAGGCTCGGACTGGGAGATTATGGAAGGCCTCAAGGACGGGCAGAAATTCGAGAAGAAGCCGAATATTTTCAGTGGATTTCTGCACAAAAAACGGAAGTGGCCGCTGAAGGGTTGGCATAAGGTGAGTGGTGTGCTTTAAAATTTAAAATATAATCGTACAATAAAATTATGTTTGTGTTTTGTAGCGTTATTTCATTCTGGACAAAGGAATATTAGTGTATGGAAAGGGCCAGAATGAAATCAACAAGGGGAAAGTGCATGGATCGCTTGACATTGGTTTGTCAGTGATTTCTAGCAAAGCCACGCGTCGACGTATTGATATCGACGCTGAAGAATTTATTTATCACTTGAAGGCGAAGACGGAGGAGGCGTTCAAGAATTGGGTGCACCAGCTCACTGTGCATCGCCTCTATAGGCAACATATTTTGAATTATGGTACAAAAGTAGGCACACTCTTGAACACCAATAGTGAAGATAGAAGTAAGTTCACTACCTCGAATATATTGCTCGGAATGTTAATCTATACTTAAATCGAATTTGTTATTTTAGAATTACCCCTAACTCCAGAAATAGTTAGCAGAGATGGAAGTTTGACGCGTGGGTTGAAGCTGGGTAATGGTAGTCGACTATCCACGTGGCTGATGGATGCCGCCACCAATATCGAGCAAGTACAAAAGGACGCAACACTGATTGAGTTAAATCTGACGCAATTGACGCGCCTGCTGAACGCCATCGAATCTCAGGGATGCTCGAATTCGGCGTACGGCGAAACGGAGGTTCGTATTGTTATTGCGTTGTGTTATGCCACTCTTCACTCTTTCTTCTTCAATTTACTCAATTTATCTGCAATAATATCGCAATAATATGCAGATAATCAAACAAAATAACTGTAAATAATGCAAGTGGACACTCTGTACAAACGCATGCATTTACTAAGCTCAAGTTGGTTCAAACTTAAACATTAAAAAGAAGGTTTGGACAGTTTGGAAATGGTGCAAATGTGAAGGTTTTGGGCAATAATCTCTATGTATCTTAGTGCACATTCGCGGCGGGCCATCGTTTGGCTAGAACGAGATCGTGGTGCTTCCGACTCGCACGGAGCACTAGTCAGAAGACGTTTTGCTCTCTACGCGTGAGTACACGTGGCGTGAATGCTCTGGATATATGAATTGACGTGCGAATTCATCAGAAACTCCTGAATGCATCAACAATAACCGTACTAAAACGATTTTATTGACTAAAATTACTTGTTCATTGATTAACGTCGTCATGTTGAAAAGTGCACAAAAACCCTTCGAAATCATTAGAACTACATCAACAAGAACTAAACCTTCACTTTTTCCTGAGGTTTTATCATATTTAAACGTGATGAAGGTCAGATAATTAATTATTGGTTTTGTTTTACAGTCCCTTGGCGAAGGATTGTCACCGAATGTGAAAAAGGCAAGAAATTCGGCCTGAAAAAGAAGAAATCCACGAAAGGTGGAAGTGTTGATTTGACAATGACTTTCAACCGCGCCGCCATTTTAGATCCTGATAACACATCTCCACTTTCTAATTGCTCAGCAATCTCAGTGTCACCGGGCGCTACTGGAAATGGTGTTTCTTTAGCACCCGCATATCCAGTTGGACCGCAGAGTCTCCCGGCTGATCATAATTCTGATAGACATTCCTATTCGGCTCCGGACAATCAAGCCAGAGAAGATTTTGTATTCCTTGCTAAAAATGGTACTTACTCATGCCTATTCAAGTTTGGTTTGAGACTAATGATGTTTTATCTTATTTTAGTATTAAGTAATTTGAAGACAGTTGCCATGACAATGTCCACCGAACGTGACCGACTGCGGGCGGCACTGGAGGCGGAGGCAAATGTTCAAACTATGTCAATCACACCTGCTAATAATGGAAATTACGTCTCCTCACTGAAGGCATCACTAAATCAAGCGCTGCTACAAAACGGCGAGCTCAAATCGCGCTTAAATAAAGTGCATGAACTCGCCGACCTCTGTGACTTGTCTTCGGTGGACCCCATCTCCGAAACAGTATGTCTTCCATTTCACGCTGCATCGAATAACGTAATACCACACTAGGTGGAGCTCGCGACTAATAATTTCTGTCTCATTTTGCTTACAGCATCGTCCCTTTCATAACTCGCTGAGTTACAGCAGTTCCTGTGTCAGCGGCAGTGAGTTTTTTGACGCTGAGGAGCTGGGCAACGAGAAACCTGCCGCCACGGAGGCGGAAGCACATGAAGACCTTGAAGCCGAAGTGCGCACGCGCGGTAGCGACAGCAGTTCGGAGGCGGGGTCTCTTTCAAGCGGTGAGGGTAGCATCAGCTCCGAGTCAGAATTAGGCGGGGATTACAGTCAGACGAATAATTCCGTCGTCAATGAGTCTGGAAGCGGCTTAACCGGCAGAAGAACAACTCTTCCCGCTCCTAGACCTGATACGGAAGGATTATCGTTGTGGAATCTATTATGTAAAAACATCGGTAAAGATCTATCGCAAATTAGCATGCCTGTTGCGCTCAATGAACCTTTAAACATGCTGCAACGTCTTTGCGAGGAGTTGGAGTACTCTGAACTTTTGGATAAAGCAGCAGAGTTAGATGATCCGTACGAACGTATGGTGCATGTAGCAGCGTTTGCAGTGAGTAGCTACGCGAATTCTACAAGCCGCGCTGGAAACAAACCGTTTAATCCTCTGCTCGGTGAAACTTACGAATGTATAAGAGAGGACAAAGGTTTCAAGTTTATTGCCGAACAGGTGTCGCACCATCCGCCAATTTCTGCATGTCACGCCGAAAGTCGAAATTTTACATTTTGGCAAGAAGCCAGAATCAAGACGAAGTTCTGGGGCAAGAGCATGGAGTTTCAGCCGATGGGACACGTGCATTGCTTGCTGCCACGCACAGGTGACCTGTATACATGGAACAAGGTCACCACTTGCGTGCATAATTTGTTTAGCGGTCAACGGTGGGTCGATCAGTACGGGGAGTTGCACATTACGAATGGTCGAATTAGTTGCAAATTGACATTTGCTAAAGCAAGTTACTGGTCAGCTAAGAAACATGAGGTAAGCTGTAATTATTCTATAGTTCTGTAAATTTAACTCTTCTTTTTTCTAAGATCGTTGGTGCTGTTTACGATGAATCTGGAAAAGTCGTTTACAATCTCTTTGGAAAGTGGTCAGAAGCGCTGTACTGTGGGGTGGCACCTTCTGCCAGATGTATTTGGAGGGCAGGTACAATGCCACCCAATCATGAGCGGTACTACGGTTTCACTCGTTTTGCCATGGAGCTGAACGAATTGGGACCTGATGCGCACATGCTGCCACCAACTGATACACGTCTGCGACCAGATCAGCGTGCTCTGGAAGTTGGCGACCTAACAATGGCGGAGAACGTAAAGCTTCAATTAGAGTCATTGCAGCGGGATCGTCGAAAGGCACGTGAAGAGGGCAAAGCGAGACATGACCCTCTGTGGTTTTCACATCGTGTTGACGATAAAGAAGATGTATGGGAGTACAACGGCAAGTATTGGGAGACACGAAAGAACAACGGCTTCACGAATTGTAGTTTCACTAAGCTATGGTAGCGCATGGTGCTTTTACCAGAGGGTAAAATTTGATTGCAATGGTGTGATTACCGAATATGCTTATATTTTAAATGCTTAGGTATATTGGCAACTTTACAATCACCATAAGGTCAACTAAAAACACGCCTAGGAACAAAAAGTTCGTTATCCGTATATAGCCACGTCAGGTCTAAGCAATGACACACTGAACAAATGAAAATGAACGGTATGCAATTTATAAAATATGTTAAGAATATAAAACACTAATATTGGAATATTGAAGTGGTAACCAGAAGGCGTACGTGTTGACTAATGCTGGTAGAAAAATGTAAATTGAAGATATAAAAGCAAAAAGTGCGTATTTATTAAAAAAAATCGGTGATCTGATATCTGATAACACTTGTTTGTATATAAACACGTATATGAACAACACGGGTAGCTAAGCTAAATAAGTTATTTTGTATTTGTATTATAATCAATCATTATGAATATTATTATCTACGATCATTTATTATTAGATAGTATTTAAATAATGTGAAGAGCGACGAGAATGCTTTTGCGTCCGAAGATATTGGTATGTTCTTAGCACGCAAACGCCATGTGGAGTGTTTACAATGCGGATATAACATTGTATAGAATAGAACAGATGAAATAGTGAGTTTAATTTATGAAATGTTGCAAGTTTAAGCAAAAGGTATTTGTTAGGTTTTGCTTAAATTTGGAAACATGGAACGGTGTAGACTTGTACATTGTGGATTGAACAGTATATTGTTGTGAGCATTGGAAACCGAGTGTGTCATCATGATGAAATGTAATTAAGCGCTTTAAACGGACGAATTTTGCTTTAAACAAACCGCGGCCTCTCGTTAGCATTAAATATACACACACACACACCATCTACACAAAATCCACTCTTTGCGATATGTAAACAGTACATACTGTTGTACGGATAATCAACGTTCAAACAGCAACAAAGCGCTGAAAAGTTTGCGACATTGTGCAACTTTACAACGTGATTTGTGTTTACACACGACTAAATTTCAAAGTTTACTATCTGTCATCTAGCGGCCTATGAGAAATTCAAACAAAAACAATTATTAACGATTTTGAGGACTTAACTATCGCGAAATATTGCGAACTAATGCAAACACCGAGTGGTACTATGCGAAAAAATAACTACCAATTTTTGGAGTCAATATTAGATGAAGTATTTTGTCCGACTATTATACAAAAATATATTAATGACTAGTTGAATCAGTAAGTGAGAAACTAAGCAAAACATAAAAACATAAAAAACCGCCCTTGTTAACAAGCTATTAATTGATATGATTATTTACCTGCAGCGCCTATCTGTCGTATTTATAACTTAACAATCTTAAAACCAGAATAATGAGAGAAACCGTTCACATGCGGTGAGTGTTACTCATGAATCTTTGATGCAGTAAAATTTTATTTTCACGATTGCGAGCATCTGCATTGAATCTCTTACAGCAATGTTTAATTATTTAATTGCCATCGCTATTGGACGATAATTAATCAACATTCTGTACTATATTATATCGTTCTGCTATTGTAACTAAACTATTCAAATACTTCACTGTGTATGGTAACGAAAATAATGAAAATTAATAGTCTTTGTTGAATCTGTGATTACAAGTTATTGTTACTAATAAATTTTTGGGCTAATATGTTACTCATCGATGCAATGTGAGTAAAATTATATTTCTCTCAATCTACTATGTATGTATATACAGTGTAGCGTTTTTATAACGTGACTGGATATTTCGACAAAGCGTCAATAACGGCAAATTTGAACAACTTGATTAAACCTACATTTTAAGACGACAACAAGCGAACACTACGGCATAGATATTCAAATTATATACATTAGTATTACAGTTATTAGTTCGTTAATTTCGAAAGAGAAATTCGATACATGGGCAATTTAAGTTTCTCCACTATGTTGCAGATCTACTGCAGTACCCCCATTCTACTCATTCTGACTACATGTGTATCTTATCTGCAGGTATGCCTCGTGCGGTCATTGCGCACACTACGTACACCGCAAGCACATTCGGGGCGTATTCATTTGAGTTGAGTGCGTCGAGTGCATACGTTTCTCGCGATCCACCGCCATACATCTTATGAGTTTACCTTTGTTTAATCACTGCAAACTCCACTTGCTTTAAGTTAAAGTTCAACATCGATCGTCATACCTAGTAAGTTACTTTGAACCCACGTGGCGATGTGCTATTGTTTTAATTGCTTCTTTTTCGTATTCGCGAAGAAAATTTAACTACCCGAGTTTATTTACATCCTCGCTTATCTACGTCTCGGAAAGTGGCTACTATAAAGCACATGGTACATTTGTTCGACAATGCGGATTGTTGTTTTTTTTTCTTAAATATACAGTTATTTAACAAAAATTATAAATAATTGCTTACATAATTTTTTATATCTGCCCAATTACATTAAACATTGTTTTTTCATCCAGAGATTATGGATTCAAAATCAATAATTGCATTGGAACCAGCATCTGGAAGATTGAAGAGTAATTCAAGTGTTAAAAATGTAATTCAACAGAAGAACCGCGTCACATTTAAATTTTAAATTTAATTCCGCCAATCGATTGACCCAAATTATGGCTTGAAATTATTTAATTAGATTGAAAGGTATGCATAAGTCTTTCATTTTCATCTTATTCGTGACAAACACTTGACAAGGGGGTTTCTTTCAATTTAATTGGGGTAAAATTGAGCAAAATTTAAAAAAAATGTCAAACACGTGACAAGATGTTGGCGTTAAATAGCTGAGAAGATGTTTGCTTATAATTTTATAGGGGTAAAGTTTTGTATAAATCTTGTATTTAAAGTGTATTCATATGAAACACATTGTAAGATGTTTTATTTCAATTTTGTGGTTGTAAAATTCAGTGTAAATTTTGAATTTATAGTACATTAATGCCAATTACTTGGCAATTTATTTGCTTCCAATTTAATTGGCGTTAAATTTATTACAAATCTTATATTTCGAGTGTATTACTGTGAAAAAAATGCCAACATGTTTAATTGAGTTAAAATTTAGCGCAAATCTTGAATTTAAAATTTAAAACTAATAAGATATATGATTCCAATTTAAATAGGGTAATATTGAGCTGAATTCTTGTTTGTGCACTTCAATCATTTCAAACACTTTACTCCGAAAAGTAACCCATAGCTTTAAATTTTGTTGTGTTTAATACCTGCGCGAATTTTGGTTAAAACTTGAATTGCATTGGGAAAGAAGCGTCCGACATGTAATTTAAGTGTTTTTTAAGTATTTTTAAGCATTTTTATGTTCGAAGGACTAATTTTTGCTTGTTTCAGGGATATTGCACCTGAGTCTCACATCGTAGAGTAACCATTCTTGCATCAGATTGTAAGTATTTAATTTCGTTATCATTTTCCGAAATAACTTTTGTGATTATCACACAAATTGACCACCAAAATTGCATTTTTATGTTCGAAGGATTAATTTTTGCTTGATTTAGGGATATTGCAGCTGAGTCTGACATCGTAGAATGACCATTTTTGCATCAGATTGTAAGTATTTAATTTTGTTATCATTTTCCTAATTAATTTTTGTGATTATCTCACTAATTGGCTCCCAAAAATGCATTTTTATGTTCGAAGGACTAATTTTTGTTGGTTTTAGGGATATTGCACCTGAGTCTGACATCTTAGAGTGACCATTCTTGCATCAGATTGTAAGTATTTAATTTCTTTATCATTTTCCTAAATAACTTTTGTGATTATCTCACAAATTGACCCCCAAAATTGCATTTTTATGTTCGAAGGACTAATTTTTGCTGGTTTTAGGAATATTGCACCTGAGTCTGACATCTTAGAGTGACCATTCTTGCATCAGATTGTAAGTATTTCATTTCTTTATTATTTTCCTAAATAACTTTTGTGATTATCTCACAAGTTGACCCCCAAAATTGCATTTTTATATTTGAACGGCTAATTTTTGCTCGTTTTAGGGATATTGCACCTGAGTCTGACATCGTAGAATGACCATTCTTGCATGAGATTGTAAGTATTTAATTTCTTTATCGTTTTCATAACTAATTTTTGTGATTAGCACATGATGATGATAATTACATTTGTGTGTTGCAAAGGTCTACATTTCGCTTGTTTTAGGTGTTCTGCACCCGCACTTTTATGGAAAAACTTTTGAATTAACGAGAAAAATTTACTTTTTGTATTTCCAAGCACTGATTTTTGCTGGTTACTGAAACTGTTTGTTTAGATTTAGTCATTCTGAATAGTTTTTGGATTATACATAACATGGATTGTGTTTTATTAATTTTCGTTCAAGTGAGTGAAATAGAAATATCAGGATGAAGTGTTATGTTTAATCTATGTACTCTATATGATCTGCAGAATTTTCTGCACCTTGTTTATGCTCTCAGTTCGACCTTGGCTTGCACAGCACGCTGTGCGCTGACATTTGAAATTTGAACAGTACCGCACCGGTCGCCGTATGTCGTCGGCTTCAAGTGACAATTCTCTATACTGCTCAGCACATCTTGCGCTGTCGTTTATCCTGTTTAGTCAGTCAGAGGTACGCAATTGTGTGGCGTGTTCTGTTTCACCGCCGGTCTTCATCGCGACTGTTAACATTTCGGGAGACTTTAATACGGTGCGAGCCTTAGAATCGTTTAGTCATCGATTGCTATTAACAACTGAACAAGTGATTTATCTCGAATCGACTCGAGGCTTAAGACACCACGTGCGCGTGTGTAAGCCATCAGCCGCCGGCCGTCGGATCTCTTACGTTGGGCTACGGATTCTAATTGGATTTATAGGCCAAAATGGTATTGTTAATTCGAGGGGATAAATCACACGATTTCTCCGGGTGGCATAGTTGTTAGTAATACAGTGAGTAGTAATATCCATTCTACTAATAATTCTACTTTGTGTGTAACGTTTGATAAGAGAGCGTTGTGACTCGATGGTACGTAGGATATGCCTTGGATCGTACGTATGTTCGTTTTATTAAAAGAGAAAGAAGAAAGTATTGTTAAATGTAATTAATGAAACTCAATTTAAAATTAAAATCTTATTCCTACTTCTTTGTAATATCCTCTTTCTCGTTTTCAGGATATGCGTCTTAAATCATATTTCATATGAAGCTTATGTGAGTGCAACATAACTAAAGCATGAGTTGTCGTTTTTAAAAAGTTGAATAAAGCAGAAACATAAATAGAAGAATCAAATATTGATGATAAAAACACTCGGTGGCCGAGCGGAGACGTGCACCTGATGGCATGCTAGCAGACACGGATCGAATCTCAGGTGTAGAAGGCATTTTTCTCAAATATAAAAATATCAGGTGTAATTTGGGTTGCATATATGAATTGCAACGAAATATAAGAGAGATTGAAATACAAGTGAAGGCAATAAGAGAAGTAAGAAAGTAAGTGGAGAAACGAGAACAGAGAAATAGAAGAAGGAGTAGTAAAGAATAAGAGACGATAGAAGGAAGAGAACAGAGAGTAGAGAAGAGAAGAGGAGGAGATGGAAGAAAGAGAACAGGGGAGGATCAGATTTTTAAATTTTTTGGCACGTGTCGTTATAAGACAGTCTATTCGACCTCTTCGATGCGTCCATTGCTCCCGGCCCATCCTACAGCTACGATGTCTCTGCGCTTCATCCCCGAAATTATCAGGCATATCAACAATTTTTATGGTGGGGGATCACCCCCAGGGAGAGGGAACTCCTTATAAGGACAATCCTTATGAGGTCTTGTTTAAATATTTCTAAGTTTTAAGTCGCCTCAGGAGAGGTGATACTTAAAAATATTCCTACAAGTTCTGACATGTTGCTGAAATGAAAGAAGGAGTACACGAATCATACAGGTTACCTAAACAATTTTTATAGTGGGGATCATCCCCTGAGAGAGGGAACTCTCTTAGAGACCTGTTCCTGAAATGATAGAAGGGGTACACAAATCAAAAAAGTCAATATATTTTACTATTTCTTTATTAACAATAGAATACAAGTTTATATTTTACAAGTCAACAAAATACCGCCATATTGAAACAGGACTTATGACCTGAATAATGAAATTAGTAAATAGCCAATTCTCTAGGTGATTGAAAATGGAAACAAATATACAGGGTGTTACAAAAGGTAAATTTAAAGTGCAAACAAAAAACTCTCAACACTACAAACGCCGCTCGTTTTCACTCGACGATCAGGGAAACTAATATATAGGGTGTTCCAGAAAGAAAATTCAAAGTGCAAACGGGAAAATACTAAAAACGACAGCAAAATTTTCACGAACACAAAGAAAGCTAATATACAGGGTGTTACGAAAAGAAAATTTTAGAAACTACAAAAGGAGTCAATATTCACAATATGAAGAGGGAAATTTACCAATTAACAACAATATATTAATATAAAATCAGAGATTTTACCCGAAAAACATCGAAAAATTGAAGGTGCTACAAAAATAAAACACTTACATTTTAATATATTCTAAATGTATATTTATTAATTGACGGTAGCATCAACTGTATAAAGTAGCCGACGGGCGAAGCATCATTACAAATTGATAGAATATCCGGCGGAAAATACCTAAATCAACAGACGGCAAGCGACGGCGCGTAGCAACACAGTGGTTAAAGACGATAAAAATAACTATTTCTTTATAAATATTAAGATATACTGAGACTGTGAACACGAAGAACTATTCACCGTTCAAGATTTTATTTCACCAAGAAATTATTAATTTAATGATGCAATTCGATTAAAAATGTTTACGTGATCATCGAAAGCATGACCGAACCGACGGCCGACGGCAAAGTAAGCGTGATCGACCACATGAATTGTAAAAACCGTGCTTGTAATAATTAAATCAAGCATGCCACTATAAGTTAAACCGCCTTAACTTTCCGCAAAAAATTTTAATTATCCCCCACACCTGTGCATTGATGAGGAGATTTTTTATCCTGTAATATATTCTATCAACTGAAAACTCGCGCGGGGATTAACGGACACTTATTTCTAACAAAAGAAGAATCTAACCGCCATAAATCATTAAACGAAACAGGCACACATGCCCATTGCGAATATATTGCCGATGGCCGAAAGAATACACGACGATTAATACAATTAAAACCTCAAAACGCGTGACGATTAGAGAGACACGCTCGCGGACCACGCGGTGAAACAACTGCCGTGTGCGCTGCGCGCAGCCGGGTACAAGGCAGGTATGCAGCGATATCACGAGTCCGTCGAACAAAAAAAAGTTGTTTATACACAATCGTACTGATAAACATGTAGTTGAGAAGACGAAACTAAAAATTCACAATGTTGAAATACACATACACGAAATTTACTGTTACTTTCAATATTTCTCGGCATACGAAAAGAATTTATTGGCTTTGGGATGTAATAAGATTGAGTCTTCGTAAAAGTTTACTGTATACCTTAGTTAATTAAATAATTGGTGTTTTTGTAAAGGTTACTCATACTTTATATGTATGTAGGACAGTAAAATACCACTTATTTCCATTTCAGTGCAACAGTGATACATTTATAACACTACACATCGTAAAATTGAAATAAATGATTATATAAGTTATTACAATAATTTAATAAAAACAAATGTGAAACTTTACATATTTATGGTTTATGTATTAGGTATATTTTGTGTATAATTGTGTCGATTGGGTCACCCTCCCGAAGCTTAGTTAACTCACATGTTGTTTATAAAGCGTACTTTACACTTAATAAAACACGTTAATATGTAAGTAAACTTATACTTATTTCCATTTCAGTACTACAGTGATACATTTATAACACTACTCATCGAAAATTGAAATAAATAATTATTTAAGTTATACCATTAATTTAATAAAAACAAATGTAAAACTTTATATATTTATGTTTTATGTATTATATTTTATGTATAATTGTGTCGATTGCGTCAACCTACCGAGGCTTAGTTAACACACATGTTGTTTGAAAAGCATACTTTATACTTTACAAAACACGTTAATATGCCAGTATACTTATACTAATTTTCATTTCAGTGTTACAGTGTCATAAGTGTAACACTAAACCTTGCAAAATTAAAATAAATAAATACCTCTTGGCCGGTCAAAATTTAATAGAATCATTGAAATCGTTGAAGATGTTTCTTGCTTTACCGGATATTACCATTTTCTATCGAATCCTTCTGGAAGAAGCATGCAGTTCACAGCTGGTCCAAGATATCCGTAAGGTCTCGTTAAAACGTTAAACCTAAAAAAATAATTTATAAGATAAGATAATAAAATTTGGAAAATAAGAAAGAAAATAATTAATAACAAAAAATATTGCTGCATCTTTTCTGCATCTTGCATCTCTTTGAGTAATTTCAGTAACGAATATCAGCGAAACTAAAAGCGGCCATAGGATTAAACATTATGAAAATTTGGAAAATTCTTTATAAGATAAAACAAGAAAATAATTAAAATTCAGGGTGAAAAGGTTCAGAAATCGTAATCAAATTAATAATTAATGAATAATAATGAATACATAAAACAAAACCATTAGGGATTATTAGCCGACGGAAGATATCCGCCGGCTGACGGGAAATACCTGCGTAATTTTCAATTCCGAGTTCTACGCGCGATATCTCAATAACTATACGCCGCATTTGCCTGGTAATTCTAAATCATATCTTTGCTGACCGATTCTAATTCAACAACCGATTTAAAATCACAAGAAATGCGATAAGTCATTACGAAAATCGCCGCGCAAATAGATGCGTGCACACCAGGCCGCAGCACACGATCTACAGTAAGAAATAGAAGGAAAAACTGCTGAGCGCGCCGGACGAGCAGCAACACAATAAAACATCAAGTTGTTTGTACACAAACATCGATAAAAGTCAAGAGTGAGGACTATGGACAATTCATGTTCTGGATGCAGTCCAATGTAATGAAATGATTTTATATTGTGGAGTCTCTTATTCGTATAAACAACATACGAAGATAGCGATAGAAGGGACACCCATTTAGGGCACCGTACGAGGGTAGCGGTAGAAGTGATTTTGATTCTGGGTACCGTACGAGGGTAGCGGTAGAAGTGACTCCCATTCGGGGCCCCGTACGTGAGTAGCGGTAGAAGTGACTCCCATTCAGGGCACCGTACGAGAGTAGCGGTAAAACTGACTTTATTCAGGGCACCGTACGAGGGTACCGGTAAAAATGACTTTTTACAGGGCGCCGTACGAGAGTAGCGGTAGAAGTGACTTTATTCAGGGCACCTGAATAATGATTTTAGAGCACTTCTAGCGGGATTTTGGCGGACTGCAAGGTCGCATCTAAGAAAATGACTCTAACTATCTAAATTCGCGAGATACAGCCAAATTTCCACTGCGTGTTTCAAAAATTCATGAGAATCGTGGAAGTTTGAGAGCGATTTTAAGGCACTTCTAGCGAGATTTTGGGAGGCAGCAGGAATGTATCATATAAAATGCCTCTCACGCTATGCAAATTTGAAAGAATAATTAAAATCGCACAAACGGTTACCGAGATACAGGCAAATTTCCACTGCGTGTTTCGAAAATTCATGAAAATCGTGAAAGTTTCAGAGCAATTTTAAGGCACTTCGAGCGAGATTTTGGGGGCGGGAAGGCCGAATGGTATAAAATGCTTCTCGTGCTATGCGAATTTGAAAGAATAATTAAATCGCACGAACGGTTCCCGAGATACAGCCCAATTTCCACCGCGTGTTTCAAAAATTCAAGAAAAAAAGTAAAAATATCCGAGCGATTTTAAGGTACTTCTTGCAAGATTTTGGCGGGTAGCAGAGAGAAAATCATCGTATCGTATAAAATGCATCTCGTGTTATGCAAATTTGAAAGAATCATTAAAATCGCACGAACGTTTCCCGAGATACAGCCAAATTTCCACCTCGTGTTTCGAAAATTCATGAAAATGGTGAAAGTTTCAGAGCGATTTTAAGGCACTTACAGCGTGATTTTGAAGGGCGGTAAGGCCGTAAGGATTAAAATGCCTCTCGCGCTATGCAAATTTGAAAGAATAATTAAAATCGCACGAAAGATTCCCGAGATACAGGCAACTTTCCACCGCGTGTTTCAATAATTCATGAAAATTGTGACATTTTCAGAGCGATTTTAAGGCACTTCTAGCGAGATTCTGGGGGCGGCAAGTCCGTATGGTATAAAATGCTTCTCGCGCTATGCAAATTTGAAAGAATCATTATAATTGCATGAACGGTTCCCGAATTACAGGCAAATTTCCACCTCGTGCTTCAAAAATTCATGAAAGTAGAAGATCAATTTTGGAGCACTCCTAACGATATTTTGGGGGGCAGCAGGGCTGCATCATATAAAATGCCTCTTACGCTATACAAATTTAAAAGAAATATTAAAATCGCACGAACGGTTCCCGAGATACAGCCCAATTTCCACCGCGTGCTTTGAAAATTCTTGAAAATCGTTAAAGTATCAAAGCGATTTTAAGGCACTTCCAGCGTGATTTTGTGGGGCGGTAAAGCCGTATGGTATAGAATGCCTCTCGCGCTATGCAAATTTGAAAGAATCATTAAGATCGCACGAACGGTTCCCGAGTTTCAGGCAAATTTCCACCTCGTGCTACAAAAATTCATGAAAATTTTGAAAGATGAAGAGCAATTTTGGAGCACTCCTAACGAGATTTTAGGGGGCAGCAGGGCTGCATCATATAAAATGCCTCTCACGCTATACAAATTTGAAAAAATGATTAAAATCGCACGAACGGTTCCCGCGATACAGCCAAATTTCCACCGCGTGTTTCAAAAATTCATGAAAATCGTGAAAGTTTCAGAGCCATTTTAAAGCACCTTCAGTGTGATTTTGGGGGGCAGCAAGGCCGTATCGTATAAAATGCCTCTCACGCTATGCAAATTTATATACAGGGTTATACAAAAAGAAAATCAAAAATATGTGCGGGGAGAGAAATATAATAAATAATACATTTACTAATAATTATAATTTTATTTGACATCTTTTAAAGCAATATTAGGGTAAGATTTCTTGAACATACAAATTAGCAAACACGTAAAGCAGCAATCAGGTACGAAAAAAAAACCGGAATCTAACGGGAGTGAATACACAGCTGACGGAACGCGACAATATTGCAATACTTGTATTAAACGCGGGTTATATGCGACAATTTGACTATTTCTACTTATTTTCAGAGTGATTAGTTATTTGACTGATCGTTTTTCCTTATCTAGAGATGAATCTACATTTGCAGTTTCAATCGTCAAATGTTAATAGAATGTATTTACGTTACCCATATTCTTACGCCTTCGCAGGTAAAATAATCCACAAGAGGCACCCACAATGTAAATGTTGTTTATTCAAATTAACAATTAAATGAATACACAAAACAAATCCACTAGGAATTCTTAGCCGACGGAAGATATCCGACGGCCGACAGCAAACACGTGCATACATTGTAGAACCACGCAATTCTGGGTTTCACGATAAATCATTAACTGCAAGCCGCACTCGTCTGTTAATTCAAAAACCTATCTTTGCTGACCAATTCTAATTCAACTACCGATTTAAAATCACAAGAAACGCGATAAGTCGCCACGAAAACCGCCCCGCATCTAGCGCGCGCTCACCACGCGGCAGTGAACGATCGACTAAGAAGTGGAACTAACACTGTTGAGCACATCGGACGTGCTGCAACGTGATAAAAACAAGTTGTTTGTACACAAACGCCGATTGAGTGATGGAGTCAAGAGTGAGAACTATGAACAAGTTAGGTTGTTAATATAGTCTAATGTAATGAAAAAAATTATATTATGAACGTACTACTTTCGTATTCGTATAAATAATGTATTCTAAAATCCAGAATTAAATGCAGTCTATATTTAAAAACAATTGCGCAAGAGGTGCGTAAGGTCGGCGCGTCGATGGCAGCGACCCAGTGCGCGAATTGCAATAGATGCGCAAACCCGGCGGAGCATCGATGGCACGCTACCTTGTGCGCAAATTGCATTTGGCACTTTACCTGGAATCAAAACTAAACTAAGATGCAGCAACATGCGGCGTGAGGTGCTGGCAACCACGACACACGGCAATGCGATAAGAAAGTGTATATTGTGTTCAAACAAACAATTCTTGTGTCGAAGGTTCACGCTTGCTGATAAATGTAGAAATAAACAACACAAGATTATTTTACAATTTTTAGTCCATGCTATTGCCATCTATAAATGATACAGTAGTTTCGAAATGTAGATTAGTAAAGATAATAAAAAAATTAAACTTCCATTCTCAAAATTCTGATTTCTTATGCTGACAGATTGCCAGATTTTACAGTAAATATTTAAGTGAAATCTTATTTGAACATGCATCGTTTCTCGTTTACCAGGTAACACATTAGTCCGTAATCATCTGCTGATAATAAAAATGTTTTGTATTCTTCATGATTTTTATAATAAACTATAGAAATATAAAATGGTTAGTTATATTCATGACAGAATTGAAGAATATTTGCTTAAATTTACGATTCTAATATAATAAACAGCAACGGTGTGTTTTGATTCCACGAAATAAAGATTCGATACCTGCAGGTAAACAAACTTATCTCTTGCGCGAAATCGCGTGATCCACACGGATACGGTGTGCACTCACTACCACCAACAAGCAATATTTAATGCAAATCCGTACATCGTAGCGCCATCTAACCTGTGAAAATATTTATCAACTCAAAAATATTCAAAACACATTTCTCAAATATGCAACAAGGTTGATATTGCAATGAAAATAAAAACAACAAAAGTCATACACGAAACAAACTAGTATTTAATAATTGATTAATTTAAATTTTTTGTACAATAAACAATAAACCAATCAGGTAGTGCTAAGTTGTTTCGTTTAAATCATACAATAATTAGAATCAATGATACTTAACCTAAGCTATTCAACAGTCGGATAAAAACATATAGAACGTATACAATAAAATGTAATAACTACGTTTCCACAATAAAAAAGAAAGAGAAATAAAAATACAAATTACAATCCGATCCACCTTCTCAACGATATTAATGGCAGCCTAGATTGCGTGTAAACCCGAAAAAATACAAACATTCCTCGGAAAAACAATGAAAAAGCACAGTTTTATGCAAATTTTCATGGATTGCATCAAGAATTCCTGCAATAAATACAACCCGACGGAGAATTTAATTCCGCATCTTCTGACATCGCGCTGAAATCACTAAACCGCCCAGATCGTGTGCAAACCCGAAAAATAGAAATATTAAACGGAAAAACAATAAAAAATCACAGTTCTACGCAAATTTTCGCGTGTTTTAAGAGGAATTCCTGCAACAAATTAATACAACCCGACGGAGAATTTAAATCCGCATCTTCCAACGCCGCGCTCATATTACAAAGCCGCCTAAATCGCGTGAAAACCCGAAAAAATACAAACATTCCACAGAATAATTAAAAAAAATTTTATGTAATTTTCGCGGGTTGCATCAACAATTTCTGCAACAAATACGCTTCATCCCCAGGATACTCAGGCACATCAACAATTTTTACAACTTACTATTACTACCTAGACTACCTACGTCCTAAATGAATAACACAAGATATATTTACAACCAATACCAATACTATAAAGCTACTAACTAAAACTATTTCGCAAAGTCCCACACGTGCAAAAGCAGGGATATGTATACATTCACAACAATATCTATCAACAAATTCCCAATTAACTTCTACACGGATAACACAAGTTACATTATTAAACACAACACAAATAAAGATACACAATGCCAACACAATAATCTACAGATTAAAACAAGTCCTCACATATAAGAATACTAGACATTAAAAGTAAGGAAATAAAGTAAGAAAGAAGTTACAGCTCACATCTTCGTTCCAGTTTCATACTACACAATCTGAATATCAAACAAGTGGGATTGAATTAAACTAAACAGAAATATCTACATTACACAAAATCAACAGAAATAACACAAAAACATGCAAATATAATACCATATGTAAGTACTATCTACAGCTGGATGTCTAAGGATACCATAAAGAATATATACATTTGACACAGCCATTACCGAATATTACATAGATCATACAAATCTGTCCATGTTTCAGGACTCGCTATTCAAGTCAAATAAAATTTAAAATACAGGTATTGCCTCTTTCTCATAGCTATTTTCTGCTTAAAGTTGCAATGATAACATTTGTATTCCTCTCATTTGCTTTTCCCTCTGACATTTAGTGCTTGACCCAACTAAATTCAACGCAAACATTTGGTCAAGTGTTTGGTCAGACAATATTGTACATATTTTATCCACCCACAAAATTGGGAGTTAGCATTTTGTCAAGTATTGGACACCAATAAATTTTGTATAATTAAATTAAAAGCAAACATCTCGCCAAGTTTTTGACACTTATAGACTTTAAATAAAAAAAAATTACAAAATTATACATCCAAAAAAATTGTAAGCAAACATCTTGTTAAGTATTGGATACCAATAAACTTTAAATTCAAGATTTGTACTTAATTTTAACTAAAATGAATTGAACAAGCATCTTTCCAAGTGTTGGACAAGTTTTTGAATACAAAACAAACATACATCTTGCCAAGTATTGGTCACCAATAAATATTAAATACAAGATTTGTACTGAATATAATTTGAAAGAGTTAAAGAATTTAGTTGAAATTTTATCCCGAATTAATACTAAATACAAAAATTAAGAATTGAAAGCAAATCTCTTGTTAAATATTTGGTACTAATGAACTTAAAATTCAAGCTTTGCGCCCAATTTTACACTTAATATAACAAGCATTTTGTCAACTGTTTGGCACGAATAAGCTTTAAATATAAGCTTATAATGTTATAATGTTTGACTCGATTTACCATACAAACCATATTGTACTGAAAACGCATTTAGTAAATCTTGAATTCCTCTTCAGTCTCTCGATGTCTGGTCAAATGTATGGATTTTGACTCCATGATTCCCGGATATGATAGTTATAAAGTATCCACCTAAAAAACAATGCTTATTACAATTGGCCAAACATAAAAAATCATTGTTAAAAAATATTTTCAATATTGATTAATTAAATTGACTTGAATTACATACTTAAAAAAGTTAACTGTATATTGAATTAAAACCAGCAACTGCTTTGCAGCAGTCACTTTCCGTCATTTCATGATGAAAATATTAAACAAGCGACGAGATACATAGAGAATCGGGTAATTCCAGTTAAATATCTTGCACGAACACGAAAAGTAAGCAACTAAAACAATAGCACATCGCCCCGTTGGTTCGAAATGACTTGCGATGTATATCATTCGATCTTGAATTTCAACTGAAAGCACAAGAAACGTGGCGGCAGATCGCGAGAAACGCGGTGGAACAAACCGGCAACTTCGATGCACTATCTGCACTATCAACTCGAGTGGAATTAGGCGTGCGCAGACTGTGCGCAATGACCTCAGCTGTTCACGTGAACTACTGTAAAAAAGTTTAGCTGTGTATCACCTCTCGATTTAATCCAGTAATCATTTGAATCGCAATTACCAAATTTCATGGTAACATTAATGATTTAACTCATAATTTATTTGTTTATTTTAAATTTAGTACTAAATCCTATACGCCAAGGTCTTAACTTTTATTATACTATCCCCTATCCAGTTAGTACTTATACAATCAATAAACTTTAGTCTTTAATTTGGAGACATTCTTTTATCCATCAAGTCATTTGAAGATAAGTTGAAATAAAATATAGTCGGGCAAACTCGTGCATGATCGTCATTTGTCGGAATGACTGGATCAAAACGCAACGCGCTTCAAATATTTGTATCCAATCACAAAAACCATAAAGAATCTTTTTCAAGAAAAAAGCTATGTCCGATATATCATTTTACTATTCAGATATCCTGTTTTATGTTTTTAATTTTATGGTTAAAATGCAATTTTTCTAGGCTAGAAACCGATCTCGCTCTTTCTCTCCCGTGCAAGACGTTTTCGTATAACATGTTCTCGAAAACATTAATCGTGCAAAGCAAACTATTCCAATACTTATGTACATTAGAATATATAATCCCAAACATATATAACGTATAACGTTAGAGTAAATATTTGTTTCATGATAGTATAATCTGGGTTGCCTATAGTGAATGATGTAAAACAAAAGTGAGGAAGTGCGTTTGCGTATCGTTGTTTTTTGATTTTGACGGAGGATGACATTCGACTTGAGACGCGGGTCGCGAGTAGAACGAACGGAGTGTGATCACCGCGAAATGTCAGTACGTCGCATCGCCTGGCAGTCGTGTGGGCCGTGTATTGTCATCCAGTTGTAATTGAGCTTGCATCTCCCGACGGTGGAAGGTGGATCGAGGCATACGTACGTTGCAGAAAATCATGTAGGTGGTCGGCGACGTTGAGCGCGCGTTCGTCCCGAGGCCTCGATGACCGTCAATTAAGCGTTCGATAAATGCCAGTATCAAATCGAAACCTAACTGTAAGTACATAGCCCAAAGCACAAATGTGCGAATGTAAATACGCATGCAGTGATTTTACGTTTCCTAGTGTGTGTGTACGTTGCACGTTTCATGTGAACATTGTTTGTTTTTCAGATATTGTGATGTCTATGCTGGAATGTAGCCATCACTTGGCTATACCCTACAATATTCCAAATACTAATTTAGTCATTTCCAAAGAGGTATGTAGTCATCCTGACCTTTGTTAGCAAACAATGGCATGTGACAAAGATCTCTCAGCTGTGTCAACTCTTAATATGCATAAATAGACATACAATGTGCATTTATTGTTCGTTTTTTAGAATAAATCATGTATGGTGTGTGGATTATGCGGTCCACACCTCTACTATTGTCTGTTCAAAGGGTGCCACACTACTGGATGCTTGGACAAATCTAAAAATCATGTTTCATCTCATTTACAGGTAAATGGGTTTAATGTTATAGGCTAGGTATAACTGGTTGCCTAACCAAGCATATAATACAAATCGTTTTGCCTCAATTTAGGTTCAACCAACTCATTGTTTATTTCTAAATTTGACGACACGTCAAATCTTTTGCATCAAGTGTCAGAGCGAAGTGGACATGGAAATGATAAACCGACCACGATGCATCTCCGATGGGGAGAGTGACTTGGAGCCGGAGGATGTCTGCCCCATCGATCAAAAGGACTCTGGGCATGGCAGCTTCAGTACGCTACCACGCAACACACCGGAACGTAATCACATTGTCCGAAACGTGAGTTATCTTATCGGGAAAAACTATACCGAATTCACTATGTACGCGGCCGTGGGTGCTCAGCACTGTTTACTTTGCTGATATCAACGGATAATCATTTGTTAGAATGGTAATATTTGTGTCAACATTAGATAAGGAATTAGAAATATTGTAAATTCAATATGAATTAAGTGCATAAGTATAATATACATAACCAACCAATTAACTGTGTTTGTAGAATGGTTTTGGTCCACCAATGATGATTTCGGGCGACACAACTGATTCGAGCGATGACGAACACGAGATCACGACTAATCGCAAAATGGTTGGTTTAGTGGGTCTTCAAAACATTGGCAACACTTGTTACATGAACGCCGCGCTGCAGGCGCTAAGCAATACCTACCCTCTTCGTCATTTCTTCCTCGAATGCCCCGCAACAGTTCAAATTCTGTCCGAGGACCGTAAGCCCGGCCTTAGTCGACAGTACCAACTTCTCATCCGCGATATCTGGATGAAAAAGAACGGCGGCTATGTCACTCCTTCGGGGATTCTGTACGGTATCCGCAGCGTGCACGCCATGTTTCGCGGGTATCAACAACACGACACGCAGGAATTTCTGCGCAATTTTATGGACCAATTGCACGAGGAGCTTAAACAGGTCAGCCCGCCCGAATGCACCATCCATGATGTGGAGAATCTGTGCATGTCTGTGGACGAACCAGCACTGAGTTCCAGCTATGATTCGAGTGAAGGAGAGTATGAAACCTGCGACTCTGGTGTGAGTGAACGATCGTCCTTAAGTGACGATACAGATGGAGCGCCAACTAAGCATAAATTGAACAGGAGTTGTTCCCCTGGGAGGCGGCTAAGGGCGAGAATGCTTAGTGGGTCTGTTATAGACGCACAGCCTAGCGCTAGTAATCAGAGTTTAACGCAAAATAAGAAAGCGGTGAAACACCGGTCGATTATATCAGACATTTTCGATGGAAAGTTATTGTCGTCGGTGCAGTGTCTCACTTGTGATAGAGTCAGCAGTAAAGTTGAGACATTTCAAGACTTGTCTTTACCCATTCCGAGCAGAGATCATCTAGTGGTGTTGCACGGGCGAAATGCAGCACCCGGGGCAACTTGTAGCGATGCAGTGATGCCCGCGCAGGATGGATGGATTTGGTGGTTTGTTGGCTGGTTAAAGTCCTGGTTTTACGGGCCTACTGTTACACTCCATGATTGTTTAGCGGCGTTCTTTAGTACAGATGAGCTAAAAGGTGACAACATGTACAGTTGTGAACGGTGCAATAAGTTACGAAATGGACTCAAGTATAGCAAAGTAAGTGCTTGATATTATTGCATGGCCATCGTGATTTATATCATGTATCTTGTTGCAGGTGCTACAGTTGCCTGAAGTTCTATGTATACATCTGAAGCGATTTAGGCATGAATTGATGTTTAGTAGTAAAATTTCGGCTGTGGTGAGCTTCCCGCTCAAAGGATTGGACATGCGCCCGTATTTGCACAAAGATTGCGTTTCACAAGTGAACAACTATGAGTTGTTTTCCGTTATATGTCATCATGGCACCGCAGGTGGAGGGCATTACACTTGTTACGCACTTAATAGTGGTGGTTGGTATGAGTTTGACGATCAGTGTGTGACCAGAGTGCATCCGGATACTGTAGCCAATTGTGAAGCATACGTCCTCTTCTATAGGAAGGTGCTTTCTGATAGCAATGTAACCAGAGCTAAAGTGAGTGAACTCGCATTACTTGCAAAAGACGCTCCAGAAATTGCGTATGTCAGTAAACAGTGGTTGAGTAGATTCTCCACTTGTGCTGAACCAGGACCGATTGACAACTCGGACTTCCTCTGTGCGCACAACTGTCTGCATCCAAAGAGAGCAATGGCTTTAGATAAACTTGCGATACCTATAGCGAAGAATGTTTACGATTATCTCTTCAAAAAGTATGGTGGTTCACCGGCCGTTTCAAACGTGCATGTTTGTGCGACATGTCAAGCATTGTACTCGAGGATAGCAGCCGAGTCCGAACGATTAGCGCAGTTGAACAACGAGTATGAATATCAAAACGAACCCCCAACGCATTTACTCTCCAACACTTGGTACACCCAGTGGAAGTCGTTCGTGGAGGGCAAAATCTCCGAACCACCGCCACCTATTGATAACACCCGCACGTCGATTCCGCAGGGTGGTACCGAAGATTACATAGAAATAAACAAGGATATATGGGATTTCTTCTTTAGTTTGTATTCTGGTGGACCAGAACTCCTTATACCTCGTGCTGAAGGTCACATGATGGTTGTTTCATCTCCCTCGCCCAATTGTGAAGAGGAACGACCTGAATTATGTTTAGTAGACGACCTCGGCCGAGGGGAACCAATGGATACCGAAGAGTCTAACGATAGTAGGGATACCGATAGTCGGGAGGACTTGGTGCCTCTATCACAGGCGACCACAAATCATTCCACGAATTCAAGCTGTTCAATGCTGAACGTTGTCACGCCCGATGAGGACGACCGAGGCAAGGGACAAATGCAGGTGGAGGTACCTTGTTCAACATCAGTGATGACTGCAACTAAAAATTCCGCGTTAGCCAACGCAAATAGCAACGGGGCGAACAACAAGCGCAATGTGAGCGTCCGACAGCGACGGAAGAAGGAGTTAATAATGTAATAAATTGATTTATTTACATAATTGTTTTGTCTACGTCTTGCGCATCAGTCTACTTCGTCTTTGACTAAACGAGTATCCGTTCTAATTGTTCTTATAGTTTAATTGTTGGTGTATATTTTTTTCGATATGGAGAACATATAAATAAATTTAATAAATAAATCATTCAGGCGGGTATTGGAATGACTGGTTTGATTGTTATAAATTTAATTCTTGTTGGCTGTATGTTGAAGTAAACTACTCAAGTTACTAAATATACAAAATATTATTTAATTTGAGTCTCTTCAGTTTACTTATTTCACCAGCTGAGAGTTTTTAAAAGTTAATTTTTGATATCACATTAGTACGGCGACATTTTAATAGCCATGGTTGTAATGTGCCCATTAGAACGCAACCAAACGCACACGGGAAGACTAATGTAAAATAATGGCGTTGTAAATTCGGTGGTTTGGCGGCGGGGCCGGTTTGACGTCAGACGCGCGCGCGCCTGCTCGGAAGCGCGCTACCGCCGCCAGCATCGATTATTGCCCACCGCTGCCGCCGCCGCGCACGGGAGTGTGGTGTGCGGCTCCAGCGCTTGCGACCGCCTGTGCGAGCGCTCTGTCGTGTAACGCGCCACAGCCGCCGACATGCAGCCGCCGCGCGCCGCCGCTCACCGATAATTTCGCACACGCATCGCCGTGCACGTCGCACACGCCCGAGGTGCGTGTGGCGGGGGCCGCCAGCGAGAACGGTGCATTCGTCACGCACGCCGCTCGCATCAAAACAAAACGCAGCCGTGAGCGAACAGCGAGAAGAACGCCGACGCCGTCACACACCGCGATGTGGCCGCCACTGCCGCCGCTGCAGCGCTAAAAATACCGCCGGCCCGCCGCCGACCGACGGCGAATCGAAGATATCAAAATCGAAGCGGCCGTGACGCGCGCGCTGGTCCCTACAAAGGGACCTTATCTCACGGGCGCCCACGGTACTCGCGAGTGAAAACAACTCTAGGTTAAACAAAACTCTGTTGAATTACGCCGAAAACAATAGATACAACTGTAAAACCCACAGCATCAGTGATAACAAATCATCATAATGTGAAGCGCCAACCGGAGAAGAGATTTTAACTGAATGGTTTGAGGGTGATTTTTGGATTGGAAGCGAATTCAGGACAGCTACAAAGATGGGGAACTCTTGTAGCAGCGGGCAGGGGCACAAGGATAAGGACAACATGTCCCAGCGGTCCGAGGAGTAAGTAAAACTTGTACTCCGCACTGAATGTCATCATTTTCTGTTATTTTTGCTCTTGGAAAAAATTCTTTCTACAAATATCGCTACTTTACCGCACGGTGTGTCGATCGGTGCGCAACAAATGTATAAATACTTGTAGGGGGACGCACTTTGCGGGACTAAAATTAAACGCCAACTGAAATAGCACGTGAGACGCATGCGACGAGAAGAGTATGAAGTGCATTATTTATAGAGCCGGTTCGTAACGTAATTTATTATTAAATTACGCCGATGAATAGCGGACCCAATGCATTGCAATCCAACCGGACCAGGTTCGCGCTGGTCCGCGCAAAACGGCAAGCGCGTCATCGTTCCGACTGTTCACCGTAAACAACAGTTAGTCGAACATATAGCGTCATTCAAACACACGCTGCCGGCGAGAAAATCATGCGTTCCCCATTTCGAAACGGATTCTAAATTAAATAACGACATAATTGCGGTGTGATGGCTGTGGCGATGATCTCAGGATGCTCTTAACGGCTGCGGGTTGCCATTTCGTGCGGTGTCGGACGGTGGAACGATGCTGTACGATGGTGGGGAACGCACGCACGTCATACGCTTCCCGTGACGTCACCGCCACAGCCTGCGTGACCCAATTCCACGCGCGGGAATGTAGGTCATTTCGTAGTAACCCATTTTTGGCACCGCGGCGCATTTTGCGAGTCGCGATGAGGAGTGCAAACAAACGCAAAGTGCACTTCAGGGACGCGCGCGTCGTCCTGCCGCGCAAAAGATCAAGGATGTTACGTTTTCTGTAATAACAGATTGGAAAACAACTAGCTTTTAGGAAAATTCCATGAAATTACTATGAAAACTAAAATGCCCTCTATCCTCCTATTAGATCTGGTAGCTATCAAGTCCGTACAAGTCTACCGTCAAATAAACAAAAAGTCCTTTTGAACCACGTGACTGGATCTGAAAGTGGAGGTGGCGGCCATACAGGTGTCCTCCTTGAACCCTCGACCGCCGGCCAACCTTTGACGGTTTCAAAACAGCCAGAAAACAAAACTCTACGAGGCGTTGCCGTCACCAGCGTTTCGGATTCGATGTCCTTGAGTTCACCCCCAGGCACGCAAAGTCCCAAGGACTTTGACAAGTCCGGGACTACGCACGTCCCGCCAGAAATTGCCAGCCTTTCCGAACAACTCCAAAATCTAATTATGGGCAAAGTAGCTCAATGCAAAACCATTACGAAAACACGAAAAATCGTCATCTATGTTTGCGCAGCGGATTCGCAAGACTGCTGCGTAGAAAAAGGCAATCTTCACAATGTAATTTATCCAGAGCTAAGAACTCACTGCAGGGAAAAGGGCTACGAGTTGCATATAGTCGACCTTCATTGGAAGACCTTATTGGAGAAACAACAAGATCATGAGTTCCCAGAATTGTGTATCGGCGAATTACAACGGCAAACTGAAGTGGCGTACGTGATCCCGGTTTTGTTTTTGAGCAATTCATTGGGAACTCCGTTACTACCAATCTCGATTGAACAGAGCGACTATCAAATGGCACTGGATAGTGTGGCGGATGAAACTGATCAAAAACTGTTGTCCAAGTGGTACCAACTTGATGCGGCTGCACAACCACCTTGTTATCGGCTACAACCAATATCAAGTCATATTCCTGGGTTTAAGGAAACCTCTACAGAAGATCGAGAGAAGGCACTGGAAGAATGGCGTAGCGAAATTGAAAAAATGATATCAATTCTGATCGGTGTATTCAGTCAAGAATTGCGGGATACTTATTTAACAACAGTTGTGGAGCAAGAAGTGCATAATACAGTGTTCATGAGTCAAGAACTAGCAAAGAGATGCATTTGGATCAACAGGGTGTACACCCCAACAGAAAAAACTCCTGATAATATGTCACCAGTTGAAGGGGAATTACACCGAAGGCTACACACGTTACAACGCGATTTAAGAGTAAGTACAACATTTAAACCTTAAAACTTCAACTGATTCTGTTTTACTGTTGAAATAGAATCAACTGGCTGAGAAGCACATTGTGCGTTTACCAGTCCGCTATGTCGAAGGCGGTCTTAGCATGGACATTCCAGAACACGAAGAGTACATCGAATCAGTAGAGATGTACCTCTCCAAGCACCTCACCGAAATGGTGGATTGCATTATCGATGAGCACCAGAGCAAAACAATGCTCAAACCATCTTACGGAATTGATGTATCAATCTTTGAGGAATTGAACCAGCAGACAACTTTCTGCCAGAAAGCAGCTCAATGCTCCGTTAATCGCGAGTACACCATCAATGAGATTAAAACGTACATCACCAGCGAAAATCACTCACCTTTGGTCATTTATGGTCCAGGTGGTTGTGGAAAAACCACTTTACTCGCACGCCTCGCACAATGTTGTCTCCAATGGCAACCGGAAGCGTTCCTTGTCTTCCGGTTCGTTGGGATCAGCGCGCAGTCGAGCACCATTGAACAATTACTCTGTTCGATCGTCCATCAATGTTCCATCCTCACGTATGGGTATAAATCATCTGCACCACATGTAAGTGTAAACTTCACCGAACCTGTAAAAATAAACATGCTATTATATTTGTATTTTGTTATTTAGACAATTCAAAGCTATGCAAAAGCCCTGCCAACGTTGTTGAACGCCACGTGTTTACAACGCCCTCTGATCGTTCTTCTCGATGGAATCGATCAGACGAAGAGTTTTAGTTCAAAGACTCTTGATTGGTTACCGTTAAAACTACCGGATAACATTAAATTACTATTATCAGTAACGGATAACAGCGATATGCACAAGGAGATGATGCGGAAATTAGATGCGAAGGCTTTTGTAAAAATGCCTGTCTTGGGAGAAAATGAAGCAAAGGGTATTCTTATGTCCAGCGTGGTTCAGTACAATCACAGTGTCAACTCAAAAATACAAGATTGTGTTTTGAAATCAGTTCAGGAGTGTACGCTTCCTTTATATTCGAAAGTTTTGGCTTGGCAGACATCTTGGTGGGCCGATAAAGAACACGACATTGTGCCAAAGGGCGATGTTCACAACCAACTCTCATTGATGTTAGAGGAATTAGAAATGATTTTAGGTACCACTCAAGTTCAACACGCCTTGGCGCTTGTGACATTTACAAAACATGGAATTACAGACTCTGAAATGATTGATCTGTTGTCGTTTGATCAAACGTTTCATGCAAATGCTACATTTGGTTAGTAAACCTAATTTCATACAATCTTGCAGTTTTATTATAAGTATTTGGGTTTTAGTACATTGGGCACCGGCGTGTTTAATGTGGTCTCGTCTTAATAAACATCTAGCACCATTTTTACAATGGCAACTGGTTGGTACTGTATTGGGCGTACAATGGCGTGACAATCTACTCTTCAACGCTGTTAAAGCGCGGTACAAGGAGAGCGAGACGTGGGCGCATCAAATGCTTTACGATTATTACAACGTAAGTAGACAATTACTCTGAGAGCAGAGATAGTAAATTTTCTAGTGCAGTTGTAAACAATTGAGTAGTCGTTGAATTAAGTTAGTAATTGCTGTATATTCTAACTGCTTTAAGGGCAAATGGTGGTCCGAAAAACCGGATCATTTGGTCGCTAGGCTAGTCACCCAACAAACAATATTAGGCAAATGGTAAACAAATATCAAATCATCCACTCAATCACACATAACTACAAATATATTACATTTATTTTATTATAGTTACAACCGACGAAAATTAGACGAATTACCCTATCAATATTTCTATCTGAAGTGGGACAAACTTCCAACGTCGGAATATTTGAACAACTTAGACTGGATCTACGAGAAAGTCTGTGGTTCAAATTGTTTCCAGATATTAGAAGATTTATATCTGTGTTACAAGGAACGCATACCCGAGAGTAAATTCTTGGAGTTACTGCGTGATTTCCTGCAGATCTATGTGAATATTTTGAATTATGATGGGACGCAGTTCTACGCGCACTTTTGCACGTATCTGAATGCCAAGATGGAGGCGAATGATGAGTACAAATATGATCCAAAAGTGGCGGAGGTGTACAAAATGTGTGCGAAACCGCCAGTGGCGTCGCTGATTCCGTTCAACTTATCTAATAGTCTTACTGAAGAAGATACTAATGTCGCTGTGTTCAAACCGTTCGATCTGATCGTCCGACTGCCCGGAACTGATCAATTTATCGTTACTGTGTCTACTGATAAAGAAGAGATATGTGTGTGGAATGTTAAAACGTAGGTATTATTAGTAATTATTAATTAGTTATACTAAAATATGGATATTTTCAGGAATGAGCGTGTTAGAAAACTAAAAGGCATCCCACAACCGATTAATTTAATTCCAATTGATCAGAATCGATGTATAGTTCTATGCCGACGTGAATTGCGCGTGTATAATTTGGACGAAGGCACTTTTGTGACTAAGTTGAAAGGTGTGATGAATCAGAAGATGCCCTATTTTGGGCTGCACGATGACACGCATTTGGTGGCGTTGAGCAGGAATCGAATGTATGTTAATCTCATGAATTTGGAGAGTGGTGATTGCGTCACGACGTTCAAAGCGGGCGAGGATCGCTTCTTGAATTCCCTGCTGGTTTCGGGGGATGGAAGGTAATAAACTCCTTAATTATATTGCAACAAATAAATTTAAATTAAACATTTTTTAGGGTGCTTGTCTGCGGCGACGAAACGCAAAAACCATTCCCACTTTTAGTCTGGAATTTACAATCCAGAAAGTTGTTGTATGATTTGAGAATTCCTCATCATGACTTTATTACATCTCTATCGGCTATTACATATGAAGGTAAACTATAAAATTGCAATCAATTCCAGATGATAAATTATGTTTATTATGGTTGCAGGCAATTATGTATGTTGTGTTTGTCACGAAATTGACGAACCAAATCCTAACTTCATTGTTGTCTACGATCTACAAAGTGGTACTTTGTTTAAAAAATGGAAGCCATCTTGTGATACGGTTTCGTTGGAGATTAGTTCTCAAGGAGGATGTGTGATCTCGGGATTGGAGGATGCGCGAATATTAGTGTGGGATCTTATCACTGGCAACTGCCGATGGTCTTTGCAGGGACACACAGCACCTGTGAACACGCTCAAGTTAGATCCCATCGGATCTCTTTGTCTTTCCACTGATATCAACGGCAGGGACAAGTCTATTCGTGTATGGGACGTAGAGAAAGGTATTTTTAAATTTTAAAGTTGATTATAAATGATTAATTTAATATTTTTAAAATTTCAGGAAATTTGGTTGCTGTTTACACAACAAACAGAAACATTATATCCTGTGAGATACTCTCAAATGGTCTGCATGTGGTTCTTGCCGTTCAAGGTCTTGAGGAGCTAGTGGTTTTAAAACTAAACGGTCCTGACGTCCAGCAGGACGACAACGACACTGTCTTCGGTGCAGAGGTGCGAACTCATGCAGAGTTTGAGCTGAAAGATGAGAATTGCTGATTGAATGAAACATAATGAATTGCGATGAATTGAGAGTCCTTGAAAACGGAGTTTAATGACCTAACTATTTGATGTTGGTTTTTCCGATGTCGTGCGCCGCGCGGCCAGAATTCAGCACCGATGTACCAAAAAACATGAATCATGAATCTATGTGTGTAACGTAAGGAGAAAAAAAAAATGGATAATCAAGTATAAGCAAGCAAAGAAACATCGTGATTGAGATAGACAAGGTGCAAGTAATAAAAAGAAAAAAGGATCAAGATAAAGTTGAAAGTTGATGTCAAAAAAAAGTTGGAAAAATGTTAGTCACGTAGTCCATCTCTTAAATTACGATGTGTGTGTTAATGAATGGTAACTTAAGCTGCAAAACAAAATGCGATAACTAGTAGGGAGTTGAACCGATGGAAAGCCCACCGATTAAAAGGGTAATTAATGCATTAAAATACATGGGCTTCGGTTGAACGTAAAAAAAAGCATAAAACACGAGTTCAGACACGAATCGTTAACCCAAAGACACCGATACCGATACCAAATCCAAGAAAAGTTATAACTAAAACTAATTATAAGTAAACATTAGCCGTAAGTAATTTAAAGCAAACGAGTCGACCGCGCTGGTTGTGGCCGCACTCGCTAGTCGTTTAGCTTATAATATTATAAATAATTATAAATTAATTCTCATACAAAGTGAGTCAAGTCGATGAAAAGTCTCTCTATCTCTCATTACAATGTAAATGTACTTCTCATCATGTCTCTCTAGTACTATAATAACTGTCGGGTATCATTTTCTCATTCTTCACTCACCACTTCATCCACACATACACGACACGAGTTTTGCTTGCAAACTAAAAATCATAAACCAAAAAAGCGCAACATACAATGAGGGGCAGCTCACAAGAACAAAGAAAAATCGTGTAACATATGTATAATACAAGAATATTGACTATTGTTTATGATTATCGATAAATAATTATAGAATCGTTAGGGATCACGATCCTTTAGTTTTTTGGTTGTGATAGTCCTGTATCGCCAATTGTAGTCGTTTAAGTTTGCGTTCCATGCCAAAATACCAGAATTGCACTTGAATTTCAATTTGTTTCACGAATATTATCGCACATTACACAAATAATGATCCAAAGTATTTTAAAATACTAAAATATTATCAATGATTTTTAAATATGATTTTTTAAACAAATAATGCAAATTTTTAATTTAACACTGATATTTTGGATCACCAACTGTTTGAATACTTATGAATCAGAACTTAGACAAATACCGAGTAGTTTTGTGTGTGCGTGTATGTAAACTGTAAATTAATCGTCACTCTTTGAAGTTAATTGTTGAGCAGAAGTCTCAAAAAGCAAAATATGATGCGAAATCGAAAATGGACGTTTATAACATTCCAAACGTATCAGCAAGTATGGTATACATTTGATTTTTGAAGTTTTGGACCAAACTTATGCAACGCTACAGTGTACAAAACCAAAAAAACGATGAAATGTGAAAACATGAATGTAATTTCCGATTAGTTTATCCCAACAAGGACCAACAACTAAAACTAAAACATTATTATAACATATAAAACACAACAACAACGTAACCTTTAAGAAAGACTCATTTGCGCTACAGATATACAACATACATTTTGTTAGCTTTGTATAAAACTTTGTTCCGTGTGAATTTTGTAAAAACCTTTGTTAAAAACGAAAAATGTGACCGTACTTAACAAAAACTGTTGCTCCAACTACTTTCTGTCAGTTGTATTTTCTGTCTATAACTTTGTGGATTTATTGTTACTGATGTTCTTATAATTTGCATAATACGACAACGGAGAAAAGTAAGCAAACTTAAGTTTTGATTAAATTATTATTATTATTTGGCTAGTACACAATTGTAAAGTAAATTACAATTACTGAAACTATTCCCATCTGGTATGCGGAACAAAATGAACAAATAATTTAAACAACTACTGTAAACAATGTAAACGATTTGAATCTGTCTGAATCTGCACTGGAAATTTATCTGTAACACTTTTCTTCAAATGGGGTAAATTTACAAATCAACAACACTATGAGAATTTAAAGCGAAACAAAAAAAAGCAAAACTGAAATGATTATGATTAGAAGTAAAGTGAATTACAATGAATGTACCAAAAAATCACTTATGACAAAACTAAATTATAACTAAGTGAACACACACGATGAAAATATGAAGATATGAAATAAAGTTATTTTAAAAATATATTTTCTTGCCAAACCAGTGAAATTCCCTAATTGAATTTTTATCTGTATTGTTGTTGACATAAAATTAAATCCAAAGTAATTTTTAAAACATTTTAATTTTATTTTCGACTCTTTGTTTTATTTCCCATATTTTAATATTAAAACAAGTAAAAAATCTTGAATTTAAAATTAGTCCAGCCTTTCTGGAGTTATAAATAACCTAACAACATCAGATTATAACTAATTTATGCTACCAATATGTCAATAGAAAAAGTTTTCAGCCAAATTGGCATCAATTTTATAACTTGTACAAAGAAAACAAAGTGTTTCAAATCACGTGTATCTTCGTCATACACATAAAGTGAATGATATTCGCGTTTTGATGTTGTCGAGCTATTCATGCTCGCATTTTCTATGCCTATTATGCATGACGCTCGTATTACAAGTCTTCCGACAAAAGATATCATCATTAACGAACGCGCTCGCGAGTCGTGCGTCATTCGCTAGCGACAAACGACTAACGTTATACGAAGACACACACGTCCTTGCCTTCGAGCTGCCTGCCACCCCATCCTGTACGTACCACCTAGTCGTCTTTATCAGCAGCGTCCTGGGCGACATCAATTTTCCTCTATTCTTGTTTTTCTTTTGATTCGCTTTTATCGCGAGCGCGATGTGTGGAGAACGTGCTGCGACATGGCATGCAGGAGGATAACGTTTCAATCAGGACGTATTTCAACATGAATAAAGAATGTACGCATTGAACATTCACTAGGAATTTAAATGTTAATATACGATGTTAGAAATTCAAAAGCGTATGCATTTTAATGTTTTATGTCATAGTTCAGGAATGAATAAGTGAAGTGTATCATTTATTGATTTCCGGTTTGCATTTTATAATATTTTATTCTATACATCGTTTGATATTCAAGTTAAGTTTTATTACAAAGTAATTTTTATAAAATCAAATTCTATGCTCGTATTGTAATATGTGCCATATTTTTTCTCAAATGTGTTTTTTTGTCAGCCTAAGCCGCATCCTAAAACTTCTCAAACAATTTTTTAGCTTCGCCTTATTTTTTCAACTTCAACCTTTCAAGAAAAAAATATACCAGCTCTTTGTGGTGCACGAATCATGCTCGAATCAATGCTAAGTGAATAGAGTGTGTTTTCTTGTGTGAGGCACGAATGGAAATAAGCTGTTGACAGTCCTTCAGTTTTGCAGATTTTCTCGTATCGCATTATGAGCGTCGGAGCTCTTGTCCCGACTCATGTTGATGTGTCAGACGCTGCATATGCAAAATATTGAGTTACCTCCGGGCCAGGCGACGCAGCGCGGTATTTTGTCTCGCGTTGTTACTCGCGGCGACAATGTTTCCCAAATTGCATCATCAAGACGAGGATGTCGACGGCGACAACAGCAAGGACGTCGTCCTTCAAATATGTTGTAGGGTAAGCGCATCGCACGCTATTTTAAAATTTAACAAGCAAATATTCACGCTGTGACAAAAAGCGAGAATTGATTATTTCACCTTTTTGATAAAATCAACCCTGTTTCATTTTACAAAATTTGATATCAATTTACGTAGTGTAATCATTGGCGAAGGCATCATTTAATGATTATTCCCATCAATAGTCTACAAAACCATTTTCAGATCTTCAAACTTTGTAACTTTATAATTTCATCTTAAATTTCAAAAACAATATTGAAAATATTATGTTCGAAGTTATGAGACGATAAAAAATGCAAATCGCAAAATGATATGCAAAAATGATAATACTTTTATGACTCATTTGCGTCTTTATCCAGTGATTTCAATTTTGTTACGCAGTAACGCAGTTCATGCCTGCGTAAGTCGATGAAGGCGAAAGAGAAGCGAATATTTCGAAACTTATTAAAGAAAACTTTAACGAATGATAAAAGTAAAATTGAGAGTTACGAGTTGGGAGCGAGTTACGAGCAAGATCACGCGGGCTGCTGCCGCGCTGGCGGCGGAAGTTTTGTGTGAAAACTTAACATTTATAATTTGAAAACCAAATGAATCACGAAGTGGTTGAGGTCTGGCGACCTGCCACCGTGCGGCCGACCCCGTCTTCGGGTATAAATCAGGAATATATAACGGATTGAATTAAAGTATTCCTTCTTTAAATTTCGTGTTTTTCCAGTCAGGAATCAGAAATTGGAGGGGAAAAGTTTTTGTAATTAAATTTCGCTTTCAAACTTTGTGTACACAAACATGTTCTGGGAAAATGTAATTGTTTTAATTAGTCAAATAATTATTAAATATGAATTTAATAATATTCTTATTATTTGCCAACTAAACTTAGAAATGTACCGGTAATGTTTAATTAATAAATTAATACATTTCTTTATTCCATCGATAGAAATATAAACATTTAAAAATTAAGGAAAAAAGAATCCTACTATTAAAGCATTATCAGACTAGAGCCAACAGAAGCAGACAAATGTTTATAAGAGTTCGTGTTATTAAGAAATCAAGGTTGGTATTAAAATATGGAATTATAATAAAAATATGACAAAAACACAAAAGTTAAAAAAAAACCTTGGATCCAAAAATAAATTAATCCAATTTCGTGCATTTCACCCCCATATAAAAATTAATAAACTACTAATTTTAGTTAACAAATGAAACTTGTAAAAAATAATTAAACCACACTCTGACTTAAACAAATAGCCTTTAATTCATCACTGATTGCATCTTGCGAGTAATTTTTTACGACACTGATTTTATCCTAGCTTTAAACCCGCACATATCAAATTCATCAAGTGTCCAATTATTAAATTACCGTCGTTATTAAAAACAAACTTATTTATTTTCCCGTTTATTTTTATTTCACAGTTTACACCGCAGATAATTTCTGTAACGTTTTAATGTTTCAATGTTCTTGAATGCTTTAATTACGCGAATCGCTCATCCTCGAACAGCCCGCAATTGGCGAAACGTTTAATGCGACTTAATGACGAATTAATTTACGAATTGTTTCAATTTTTGACTGCACATCGCTCCTAATAAGATTTAATTACAATTAATTAATATTATTTTCTCTTGGCTGCGCAGCGCGAATGGCGAAATTAATTTGAAAGCTTAGTATTTTTTTTCCAACATGAATCCATACCAACAAATCACAAAATACGAATGCGGAATGAATAAACTAATAGCGATTAATTAAAAGAACTTTTGCTTTATATTAGTTATACTAGATTTACTTTAGGTTCGGTGTGGTTGGTTTGTTTGAATTTCAATTTTTTGTTGGAAATAAGAATGGGGAGCAGTCGCAATGCGTGAAATCCTATAACTATTTTATTGCTTGTTCGAACTTCAACGTTCGATGATTCGACATCAACATCGACATTGAGCCGAAACAATTAGTAATTTTTTTGGAGCATTTAAAAAAATGCAGTATACTTGTTGCTTGTGTTTATATTTATTTGTAAGAAAGTGTGTTTAGAAGAAATGACCATAATTATATTCGAAAGGAGCACAATTCTTGCACAAATTACATTGGTTACTTTACTTATTGTATACAGGGTGTTCAAACTTAAATATTTATGAAACACAAGAAAATATACCTAACAAACTACTTAAAATAACTAATTAATTATAATTTAAATATTTTTGAATTATGTTTTTGAAATCTATGCTATGCAAAAGTAACATGACATTTGATATGTTTTAATTTGATAAAAACTTGTTTGTATCCGCAGTTTTTAGGCCGGTATTTGTCGTGGAAGTGAAAATCGAACGCAATTTCGCTCCGATGCGCCGTTAGTTTTTACGTCGAATAATTATCGTGTTCAATGAGTTGTTCATTTTGATTTCATTTCGTTTGACAATCAGCCCGCCGGCTAAACAGCATCACAGGTGTTTCGAATGTTGCAACTCGCATCTCGCGTGATGCGATCAATTATAAAATTATCGCTGATCGAATTCGAATTTAAATTTGCAAACTAATTTTCGGCCAAATAACTAAAATCCAATTTGCACGCTTATTTGCGTCGATTTGTGGACGTGCAAATAAATAAACGTTCTAATGGTGCAAAGTTGATTAACACTCGCGATTGAAAATTTGTGGGTGTTTTTCTGTTGGGCACAATAAATTTGAGAACCAATTAAGTAAACGAAAAGACACTCGAAACTTGAGGCTCAAAGGAAGTCAAAAGTCGGGGAGCTTGAAGCCGATGATCGCTTTTTAATTGCACGGGGCAACGAAACTCGCAATGAGTCATTCGATCTTTTCAAGCGCCGGAGAAATGAAATTCCGAGCTGTAATTACGTTTATAACCAATAATAACACGAAAGCGAATTGTAAAATTAAAACGTGCTTTAATAACACCCAAAAAACTGAGATTAATTCAGGAATTGTGTGTACAAACTTATTCAAACAAAAATAAGTCAAAGGTCAAATACTTCCTACTGAAATAATTAATTTTAATAAAATAAAGTGTCTTGACATTTCGAAACGGAAGTTTCGAACAACATTCGGCCATATTTGATTGGCTGTCAAATGTCCCTTGAATTGCTTTGATTAATCAAATTACGCTGTTTTTTGTTTTCTTTGTGTAAACCATAATAACTCTAGATGTGGCGAAACCGCAAAAGAAAATAATAGTAGACGTGTGGTAATAAAGCGCAAATCGTTTGCGAACGAAACTTTCACTGCGATAATCTGCCTTGTACAGAGTTCTAGGTTCTTCGACCATGCTTCTGCATATTAAACGACGCAATATTGTTTTATTATTATTCACAATAGTGGCTGTTGACTTTAATTAAACCGAATAATAATTTATTCCGCATAAATCCACTTTTACGACGCGCGTTTACGCTAATTGTTAACCGCTAATAAAAATATTTGCATTTAGCCTAATTACTAACATTTCCAAAGTGTGTTTATCCACATATTGATTAAGGTTTATTATACCAAGTTTTGTTGAAGTTAGAAACAATTTAAATGTAGTTAGTTGAAGATTTGGCCCGAAAATGAGCAATGCAATTTTTATTCGTATTTCGGTGGTTTTCTAATTGACACTTGACATTAATCGACTTAAAATTACTTTTAACCTCAAAGCAAAACAAAAACATAAATTATCCAAAGTTTTTGCAATGGTGCAATTGCACAATTCTTAAATTGGGTTCTCTGGATGTAGAGAATCGCACGAAACGAATCAAACACTAAACTTATTCTAAAGTTATTCTTCAACACGCAGAAACCATGCGACGATGGCAATAAATAAGTTTTTAATCTTTTAATGGAAAAATTCGCTCAAACTTGGAAAGTAATTCATCTTGTACTCTGCCTTTCTGCGTCCACACTTTCTTGGACTTTTTTTTTCAAATGTTTTAGTCAAACGTTTTTCTTTCGGTCGATCGACATTGGTCTTTGGAAATTTTTGAAACTTTTAGTGCTTGCACTTTCTTGTCTTGCAGCATAAGACAACAAAAAGTCTAAAATATAATAAAATACGCACGCGAAAACATTGTGTGTTGAAAAAGCAAGAAGGCAAAGAACTCAAAGAAGCGAAGTAGCAAAGTTTTAACGCCGAGTGCGTCGAAACTTTCCCGAAATTAAATAAAAATAACAAAAATAACATCCGAAAAGACGCATGTTCATGCTCTCGGTCGTGCTCGAGAAAAGATTAACGCAATAAAGATTGGAATATTGCGAAATTGCGAATATGCGAGCAACTTTACCGAAATAATTTTTGGGTGGAAAAAGTTAACGAAACAAAAAGTTATGCACAATGAAGTTTAAAGAATAGCGGTTATTTAGGAACGTAATCTAAAGAATAGACTAATAAAAAAATCAGAAACTGGAAAAATAATAAATTCAAATTCTACTTTCAACAAAAAAATAAACAAAATTTTACAATTCTCAGATTAAAAATAACTTAGGTATTAATAAAATGATGCTATAAAAATGTTACTTTAATATGTTTTGAAATAAAATACCATATAATCCGTCTTGTTTTTAAGTTTTGTTTGCTTTTCTTACAAAGTAAGTTTAAAGAAACTTTGTCGGGTTTTGTTTTATTTTATATTAAAGAACAGAGTAATAACATTTTAACAATACCTCATTTGTCAACTTGTATTTGCCCATAACAACTCAAAGATGTTTTTTGATGATGGTACGCGACGATAGTTATGGTATTTAGGTTTTTGGCACCGTTGCCATCAAAGAACCGAAATTGCGTGCTCCGAAAATCCTAACCACATAATTGCACCCAAATCTAGGCTAATTTTTTTCATCGCAGAACTACATTAAAAATTAATTAAACTATTATATAGATAATTTTCACTTTTAACTTTAGAAAAGTTTTCATTTTCAATCCGTGTATGGAAAAACACGCAATGAATAATAATCAGCACAAAGCAAACATGAGTTTCATTCAAAGTTAACACTAGTTGTCACTAGGTGTAAGCAATAAAATCGTGTGTATTGTACCGCGCGTGTGGCGTTGTTCTCGTTGTTCTCTTCGCATGCGCGCGCGACTTTGGTGATTCGTGACATTGCTGGATGCGCCCGCAAACGGCATAAAGCGAATAAAGGTAATAATACGAACGGTACGCAGTGTGCGGCATAAACGAGCCAGCGGTTAAGTAGGTTAGGGAAAGTTTACGTTTCACGAAGACGCGCCGACGAGGATTAGTACAACTTTGGCAACTGTACTGGCCACAAGGAGCGTTCGCAAACACGCGCACCAAAAATTTACTCGAAAAACTCAACTTTTTTTAAAACATCCGGGACATTTTCAGTTGAAACTCTCAAGTTTCGCATCATTATAAAAATTTAATTGTTGTGATTTAGACTATATATTACTGAGTAAGTAACTTAAGTTAATATTATCTAGTAGATAATGAAATATTTGAAATATGTTTTGTGAAATGTTATTTTGATTGTGTGTTATTGTGGCAGCTTGTAATGAGCCGTAATGTGCAATTAGTTTTATCTCGTCCTTCGGCACAATCGACGCATCATATTTCCCAATAGGTGCGCGCGGCAATTATCCTCACATCCCGACGCAAATGTGATGTGTGATGGAATCGATGATATCGCGCGCACGAAGGTTAATTAGCTTCATGTGTGCACTCGCACGCGATACTAAAATAAATTACTAGAGATATTAGAAAATCATATTTTAATCAAAACAAAACCAACAATCGTAAAATTGGTTTTTAACATTTAAAATTTTTGTAAAGGTAAAAAAATAATCCACAATACTTGAAGAATAACTTGAGGAATTTATCATTTTTGGCCGAAAAATAGAGGTCACCGTTATTAAATTTTTGTGTCGAGTTTAAGTCTGCTTAACTGAACGCAAGTCGAACCTGAAATCAGGTTGAAGCAAAGCAGCAAGAAGACGCGAAGAAATGAAGAAGAAAGCATTTCACTTTCGCGTTGCGCGACCGAAAAGCAACGGTAAAACATATTGGAATCAAGTGCGAAAGAGGCAAACGCTGCCAACACTATACAACTAAAGAAGAAAGAAAAGTTGAGAATACCTTTCTTCGCAGTCAAGCGACTCGGCACTACTCTACGCAACACTTTCACAATGTTTGCGCGTGTTATTAAAACACGCTAGGAAACTTCTAAAATTGCGTAAAACGCGACAATTTCTATTTTATTTTTATACCAAACAAAAAATTTTGTTTAAAGTTTAAGATTAAATTTTAACATCAATATTATTGTATCACCTTGTATAATTGGTACAAGTGCAAGTGCAAAGTCGATGTTCTCATTCGATACTTAGTCGACATTGAAAGCGCTAAGCGTCGAGCGCAGAATCCGGTTGTGAATTTACGACTTGCAGCGTTGCGTTTTCACCAACGAACGGAAATAAAAGATGCCACATTTCTGCAACGAGAATTGATCATACGAACATTGATTACGCGCGACAGCGTCTTTCACGAAGAAAATACACGCGAAAGTCAATTTTATTTTCATGCGTTTTCATTTTCGTTTTATTACATTCTGAATGATTAGAAGAATGTAATAAAAATAAAAAATAAATTTACGTCTGCATATTTGCTTATAAAATCAGAATATTCACTCGTAATAGAAAGTTCATTTAGTTAATTTGAATCAATAAAAACTTCAAAAATAGAAATTTCGAGCAAAATTCATAGCCTGAACTCCATCCAGCGATGCCATATTTATCTTAATGGAAATTTTGATGAATTCTCGTGAATGCAAATTGTGAACCCAGCGTGGATTGAAAATGTTGCAGGAGTTTGTGGTGGCTTGACTCCTCCGCCAAACCCGACATCGAAAACATTCGAACGAAACGCAAAACGTTAATGCGGCGGTTAATTGCGTATGTAATTCATGCGAAATTGCTTGTTAAGGCGGCCGAAAAGTTTGCTTTCCACATTTCGTCGTTTCGCAGCGCTTATATCAACATGCGCGCGACGCGACGGGATCGTAATTAAAATGCGTCTTGTTTAATGAATCGAGAAAGTGCGCGCGACTGAGTCATACACTTCATTTCGAAACAATACAAAGTGATACACAAAATCCAAAAACAAAACTAAAACAAAACCAGCCAATAATTAATTGAAAGTCTAGTTCTAGGAATAAATTCATTTATTGTTTATTAATTAATGAGCGAATTTTCTTGTTTCAACTTTCTTCAATGGCATACACTCATTAATTTTCAATTAGTGCACAGCAATAATTTATCAAGTTCATTACAAAGTCATTAATTACTTAGTATTTGTTACGGGATGAAATGTGATGTTTTATATGATCTACAGAAAAATGGGTCTTGGTGGACACGATGATACCGTCGCTGAGTACGTCTGCCAATTGCCGGAGCAGGCGAGAAAGTTAGCCTTAGATGAATTGCGTGAGGACGACTCATCTCGCGAGCAATCGCTCGTACAGTTTCGTGAATGGATCAACAAACATCCCAATATTAAAAAGTGCAGAACTGGTAAGAATATTATTAAATCATCATTATCCAACTCCAATAGCAAAATTTCTACTTCGTCATGCGTTAAATTCGTCTTAAATTAATTATTAACTTAATTTAATCCAGTTTTGCTATTAACAAGTGATGAATTCACACAATAAATTGTTTTTTCATGTGTCTCTGACCTAATCGAGTATATTTTTCCATATAAATAGTTTTTTGCTCAAATTTTCCGAAGTTTTTAATTATTTTGCTTCTTAAAGCAAAGATAAATTCAACAAAGCAAAAATAATAAGCCGTTCTTAAAACATAAATAACACATTTCTAAATTTCTTTTCGTTAGATGCACCATTTTTGTTGCGTTTCCTTCGCACGAAAAAATTCAGCGTTCCGCAAGCATGCGAAATGTTGGAGCGTTATCTGATCATCCGCCAATTGTACCCACAATGGTTCCAAAAATTGGACCCCAACGACAAGGACCTCGCCGAAATCATCGACAACGGCTACCTGGTCCCGTTACCAGAGCGCCTCGACGGAAAAATGGTGCTCTTTAGCAACGCCGGCAAGTTTGACCCGCATAAGTACACTGCTGCCCACATGGTACGCGTGCACAGCCTCATCACCGAGGCCCTGATGGACGACGATCTGAACCAGGTCAACGGCTACACCTATGTTAACGACGAGGCCGGCTTCAGCATGTCTCACATCTCGCTGTGGTCGCTCACAGACATCAGAAACATTCTGCGTTGCATTCAAAATTCTACGCCCATGCGTCACAAGAACAACCACTTCTTGAATATTTCATCAAATGCTGTTAAACTTATCGAGTTTGCTGTTTCTCTATTGAGTGAGAAACTCAAGTCAAGAATTCAAGTAAGTTTTTTTCTTCTTCAAAAATTGAAAGAAAAATAATTAATTTTTATATCTTCAACAGATTCATAAATCTTTGGAGGACCTCCATAAAAATATCGACACAAAAATCCTTCCGAAGGAATACGGAGGTGAGGTGCCTCTCAGCGAGATGATTAGCAAGTTGAAGGCAACGCTGGCTGCCAAACGTGAACAACTTTTGGCCTTGGACGAGATGTACATCGAGATTGATGAGAAATCCTGCCCGCTTGTGTCTGAAATGAACGAGGAGCTCGGCATGGGCTTGGAGGGCAGCTTCAAGAAACTGCAAGTCGATTGAGACCTTCTATTTCGCAACTATCTAGTCTAAATCCGAATGAGAAATGAGAAAAGAAAAATTCCTATCTTAAAAAAATATAAAACAGACGCACGAAATTTCGAAAATTCTAGGATAGTTACACTAGTTAATTGTTAGTGATATACGTTACTATTTTGTTTACTGCATGAGATTTTAGTTCGTTGCACAGCACTGTTGTTAAAGCTCTAATTTATGTACGTCGTTATAGCTAGGGTAGCACTATATAATTCATTGCTTACGTTTAAAATTTATATCTCTTTTACACTTAAAATTATATTACTTAAACCTATACACGTTAAGTACTCATCGTCATAATGTTCTTGTGACGATGATCCAGAAGGTGGAACAATGTTACCAATTTGTTTTTGTCTAGTTAAAGAGTGGTTTGTTTAAAGAAGAAGAGAAAAATCGATAGGAAAGTAAAAAAAGCACGCGTTATTAATAGTATTCTGTGTTTTATAAGCTTTTTTCTTTAATATCTATACCTTTAGGCGTTTTAATTAGTTTTGTAATTTCTTGTTGATGTTTCTGCTTTAAAATAAAAATGATTCAAAATAAGAAACTAAGTCAACGCTAAATTGAATTCGGAGACTAAATCAGTCTATAACTGGAAGTAATCATGAACTCAAGCAAGAAATAATTACCAATCCAATGTTCGACGCTACCCCAATGTGAGCGCAAGTGATGTAAGTTTCCAAGACGGCACTGAGAAGGGTATGTTCATCAGAATAGACGGGAATAGGATCAAGATTCGAGCTTGAGGCTGCGTTTGCCAATCAGAAACCAGCTAGTCATAATCTCCTTGTCGCGATCACAAGCCCGCTGCCTCCCAAATTCGGAATTAATAATGCATCGGATCGCGAGCCGCTTTGCCGTCAAAGCAAAATGTGATTTATTTACTCGCGCGCGAAGCCAGATTGCAAACTGATAGCTCATTGAAATCGCGCGAATTACCTCGATTCTCCTTTGACATGCCGGCGCGCATTAGCAATTATCTTGCCGATTATCAATAATTAAACCAAGATTCTACTTACTTTGCACGCTATCACTATCTCTGCGGCTGTAGACGTCTTCGATCATCATCCTGAAACCACAAACATACGATTATTTACTAATCTATCAAATATAAGTAAATTAAAGCATAGGAAATTAAAATTATACAAGTAATTGAATATTGATGATAGTTCTGAGGTTTGTTAGGAGCTCGATTTGATTGATCCAGTTGTGGTACTGCGGTTATGTGTGTTTGTCTACTAAAGGACGAGATCCAGACACAAGATGCTAAGATAGTGACAGGATGATTGCCTGAATCGCGTCCGTTATCAAACAGATTTGGATTGAATAGGGATTGGCATGTGTCCTTCCCATCGATCAATCAACGATTGACCGCACAAACACTAATGTCGTTATTAATAGATAACTATCATTAATTAGCTTCGCATCAACTAAATTAAACACATTGACGTTTAATGAAAGATTAATTAATCAAATTCCTTTATTTTTCCATCATTTAAGCATACGTTTATGTTTCTTTTCAAATATATTACAACGTTTTGCATTTGTTTGCATAACGTTCATCGCATTTCCGACAGCATCTTGTTTGTTCCGCCATTTGCGTTTCCGCTGTTTTCCTGTTGCTTTATGCGCACGTGTAACGCACCGTATTGCATATACATTTGTAATTCCGCCCTTGTTTTTAGGTCCACCCTATGTTTCCGGTTTTTGCGTTTTTTTCTTTCTCTGCGTAAATTTTGACGTTTTGGATGAGTAAATTGTATTGTTACCATAAAAATACGCGTTAGTCAAAACATGAATAATTTTATTATTTGTATCCAAATATTTGTTTATTGTATTTCTATATCCATAGAATATTTATTAACATAAAAAAGCACTTAATTTGAGTAGCATATTTCCAAATATATTTTCCTACACTCAAGACTCAAGGGGTGCCCATTGTTTTCCTTTTTCGACGCAAATCCATTTTCCATTTCGATACCGTCGACGATACGCTTAGAAAAACAGAAAACACGTACGAATCCACTTCATATTTCCACGTTTCTACGCCGTCCCAGTCCGCGCCAGTCGATATTCAGACACTCAATTCTCGCCTTTTTACAAAGCCTACTTTATATTAGGCCTAGACAAAAAGAGGCCCACAGAATGGCGCCCCGACCGTGGAGGAAAAATCGGGCCAAAAAAACAAAACACAAACGGAAATCGTGCCAGACCAAACCTCACCCAAGGAATAAAAAAGCGAGCGGGCGAACAAAAACAATGCGAATAAAAATGAAATGCACAGCGGAATGTAGAGGCTCGACCGTGGGGGCGGCGTACGACCAGAGATGGAACTGAACGGCAACGGGGGTAATGGCGTTTCGTATCGAAATGTCTGCTTGATAGTGATCGATAAAAATTTATTGTTGGAATGGTTATTTTTCCTCTGAACGCTTGAACGGCCGAGACGAATGAGATTATATCATTTGTTGTTACCAGCAAGGAATAACATTTTATATCAAACTGTAACAACAAATACTTTTCCATGCCTCAGGGCAAGTTATTTTATATTTGAGTAAGTGCCATGACAAACATGATAGAGCCTCATCAATAAATGTCATCATAAATTAATTACCAAGTAAATTTAATTCAGTTTTATTTATCTATAAGACTAGATATAAAAAATAGAAGGATTTATGTATGTTCCCTATGGACTCCAAAACAGGTGCACCAATTTTTCTAAAAAATTTATGGTGTAAAATAAACGATAAAAGTTGGTTTTGTAATTTAATCAAAAATATTAGAGTTATCGCATAAATCGAATAAATTACCAAAAAACAAGAATATAATTAATTAGGCCACTTTATATTAAATTTTTGAGGGATGAAGTCGCGATAGTCAGCTAATTTTAATATAAAGAAATATTTAAATTCTTTTTTTACAAATCTATAAGTATACAAATATTATATTACGTTTTTTATATTAAAGTCGATTTATGCGTTTTATTTTTACAATAAGTTTCTTCCGCTTCTCAAGTTCCTAATACTTCTTATATTTTCAATAAGACAGTTAAAGCTGCACCTGTTTAGCAAAATAAAATATCCTGAATAAATTGAAAATTGCATGATTATTTTTGCTTGTATTCCAGCTCCGATATTGATATTTCGCTTCGTTTGCCGTTGGTCATACGGTTTCAATATCCATCTCTTCTGTAAGCTTTCTAGCAATTTCTTTCGATTCTACGAAAAGCTTCAAGGGCAGATCGACCGAAAGATATTGCCAACATATTTCTACAACATTTATTTGTGAGTGTACAGATTTGTCGAATCGCAAAATGGACAACAAATCTACGCACGCATTTATATCGCTACATTTCTCATATTGTTCTTATTCATTTATTTATTTGCGCAAATACAACAGGCATTACAAAATCACAAAAAAGCGCGCAATGTATCATGGATAAGAAATTTATTTGTTTCGTATTTGTATCGAGGATTATAAACGTCGTAAGGGAATATACATAAATTGACTGGATAAATTTGTCTGAACGCGAAGCAAATATTTTATTGATTGCTGTATTGAAACTCTCTGTCCGTGCTACAACAGCATGGAAAAAAATATTTTATTATTTATTTGCTGTACTGAATGTTTGCGTTTCAAAGCTCCGAATGCCGTGATTTATGCATTAATTGTACGTTTTTAGCCTTTTTACCACGTCGGCTTGCGTGTTTTTGATGCGTTTTATTCGTGATTTATCGGCGCGTTACGTGCATTTTACAATGCCAATGCCAAGCATGCTACAATGAACGCAACCCAATAAAACCATTGATTGTTTTGATATTTTATAACAATATCAATTTTTTTCATCCAACTAGCAAAAAATTAATCCTGTAAACTTTTTATAAATTTATTTAAACCGTATTTAAATATATTCACAACAATTTGCCTGTTCGGGCCAGTTGCACTGCTTCGTCGAATTATCAAATGTCAACCCAGAATTGCATTCCTGCACATGGTCCTGGCCATACCAACAATTGACAAAACTTCGACAATTCAAAGGATGCGGTAGAAGTACAGCCATGTCTTCCGGACAAATCCTTAAAGATCTCAGCTGTTTTTGGCGATTTTCTCGAATGCGTTCAGTATGTGGACTTTGTATGCATTTCATTTGCGCAGCGTCGAACACGAACGCATCCGGACAGGAGACGAGTTGGGTGGTGACGCGCCCAAAACCTTCGTCATTTCGAATTTTTCCGATGCGGATGAAATCGAAGGACGAATCGAAAGATGCTGTTGGCGCTAACTGTTGACGTGGAAAATTTATTGCTTTGCCATGTTCCAAAGTGTACGGAGTTGCAAATTGGGTCAAAGTTAAGAAAAATGCGACAAATAACAAGAAATCTAACAAAAAATTGATATTATTAAAAATAATCAAAAATAAATATAAGAATAAACGCTTACTATGACTTTTTGACGTCATGTTGTGCTCGGAGTAATCACACAAATGATAATACTATATACCGCAATTACAAATATGTAATTTATTATCGGTAAACTTCAAACAAACAGATTTGTGATAATATTGTGATAATAATCAGACTAATTAAAATTTAATGTTCAGACACTTAAATTTTTTTGTCTAAAGTTTCTAAAATTGTAATTTACCGCTTTAGTGGTATTTAAAATTCTATAAATTGATTTTTGTTTATGAAAACGTACGAAACGCAATCGAATGCGGTTTTAGTTGCGCCCGGAATGAAATCGAAACGTCCTGAACAGCAGTTAACGAATCTCGTCTCGCCTCACTTCGACTCCTTGTGCGAGTGTGAATGCAACACGAGAATTTTGACTGTGTGCGAAAGGAAAAGTGCGTCGTCGTCGCTTTTCAGCCTTTCGAAAAACCCAACCCGAACGGCGAGGATTATCTTCACGCTGCTCGTTTCGGATATTTATGGAATGCCGCTTCGGTCCCAACCTCGGAGTTAAACAAGTTCGACGTTAATTCATATTCTATTTGGCGAGAGCGGGTCGGCCCAGCGTCCCAACAATTTCGGCGATTATCTGGCGAGATTATCAGAAATGATAAAGTTCAATTAAATTCCGAATCAGCGCGACATTTATTCGATATCCAAATGATATTCGCACACGAATATTGTCCGAAATCCTCTAAAATACAGCGGAATATCGTGCGTAGGAAATTACAAAAACGAAAAGTAAACGGAATTAATTTTTGCAAAGCAGGCGTGAACATTCAAACAAATCGAATCCAGCGCCAACATTTGAATTCAACCCGTTTCGCTCGCTTTCAGCTCAATTAGTTTTGATTTTCTCAGCGCGTCGAGACTCCCGACCCAACTCTGAATCGTAAATTGTAAATTCATTGGAAATTGCTTTCCACTTTCCCCACGCTTGGTTTTCGATTTCAGCGCGCACAACACACCGCCAAACACACAAGCAAGCAAGCGTCTTAATAGAAAACGCCGCACAGAGGAAGAAATAAAGACTTGAAGAAGGTCGACGTCGTGTTAGAGTACAATTGCGGTACATAAATTATACATGTTTAAAGTGTGTCGCGCCGAGGCGTCGTAAATTTCCCGCCAGCGTTTCAATTTCGCGCCGAGTTACAAGTCGACTTCTAGTTTCAGACATTCCTAACTCGATTTTAGCACAATCTACAACACGCCAGCCAACACTAAGCAGTGACCAGTGCTTAACAACAGGTTTAAACCATTCCAAACAATAGCGGACGGACGCTTCACAATAAAATACTTCTCCAAAACAATCAGTCCCGTACTTAATTGTGCAATAAAGCCGTAACTTGCACTATGAAATATTTAATTACGCATAAAATGCTGATGTACTTATGTAGTCTAGTGTAGTGGCGGATGAAATATTTTTTCATGCGTAATTTACTCTGAAATATCTCCTTGGGATGCCAAAGGAGTAAATTAATTCCGACCTGTGTAATGGAACCCAGAAACCCAGCAACCCAGCCGCCCAGGATGCTTACTTGTTTCGGTGCGCTGCGAGCGGCGGTCGGGTAACACGGTGATAAATCCGTTCGGACGGCTTCCGGCCCATATTTTATCA